ACTTGTAGGACTCATCTTCACAGTAGAATATATTAGAAAAATGATCATGATTAATTTGTTTTTCTCTAACTTCTAATATAAATTGCTGATTTGAAATCTAATAATATCACACAATAGTTTTTCTTAATAAAGTAAGGTAAAGGGTAATAATAAAGTTTTGATTAAGAAGGTAAAAATTAAATAAAAATCCAAGTTGGTGTTAATTTATTTTTTCTCTTGATTTATTCTCACTTTTGCCTGTTCCTGAATTATGCACTTAATTTCTGATAGGTAATATGTAAAGTTGAAATTTCATTTTTACACTTTAGAGATTTCATTCTTGACTTAATAAATTTCAGAGCTTTATTTTATGGCTTGCAATTATTTATGATATGTGTGGATGAATTGTAATAATCTTCTGTTATGTAATAAACTACCGTGTGATCTGTTTTTATCCTAGCAAAATCATATATTACCCCTAAAATTTACCTAAAATTTTTTGAAAAAAGCTCCTAAAATTACCCTAAAATTTTAAAAAACTTTGCTGCTACCCCTGTATTATGCAATCATTTAAAAAATTTTCTCTATAAATACGTATATTATAAAATTATCTTTAGGTTTTTTTTTCTACCTTTGAATTTTTAAGATAAATTCATATTATTAAAATTAAAGCAAAAATAATTAACACTAAAAAGCTGCAGTGCCAGTTTGATATGTGATTTTTCCCCCCTAAAAGTTTTGATTTATGATCATAAATCTATTAATTAAATACATACAAATAAAATCATAAAATTAATATTTTTATGTAAAAATTAAATTTTTCGAAACAACGTTTGGAAAGGTTTTGTATTAAATATTAAATAAGAGAGCTTTGATCTTTCAATTTTTAAAATGAATGCAATTAGAGGTTTTATAAGACTATTAGTCTAATTAATATTAAAGGCTTTACTTATTTGAAGAATTTCACAAGCTCTTTGGTTAGAACAACGCATTGAAAATCTCAGATTTATGATATATGATTAAAAATAAATGTTCACAAACTGGTTTAAAAGTACAATTTATTATTTACGAATCAGCGCAGTTCTGAAAAATAAAAATAAAATAATTTTGAAATATCTCTTTTAAGTTTACTTAAAGCTTTATGTAAATAGCAAAAATACGTTCATTTAAAAAACCATAAGCTCTGTTCATAATTATAACTTAATTTTCACTGTCACAAATGTTTCGATTTCACCGAAGTACTTAGTAAAAAAAGTAACTATGAGTTCTATAACATAGCGAATGATATTGAAAATTAAAAATCTAAAAATGAAAGTACTTACTGAGAGTTCAAACAATACTTTAAGTTTAAAAAAAATTTCCGATGTTTTTTTTATTTAAAAAAAAGTTATTTTTTTAAGGATTTATGATTGTTTTATTTTTATTTTTTTATTATTTCAAAATAACTTAAAGCACTTACTTTGCATTATATTTCGAAAGGTGATTATAATTGAATTTCATTACTTGAAAAAGAAAATCCTAAAGTTAGAGAGCACCAATAATAATACGTTTTGTGGACACGAACAAAATTACAGACCTTTAGAACACGAATTAAGAGTCGCTTAAAAAATGTATTCACGAACTAATTTCTATATAATTGAAATTTCTTTTGCACTGGGGAACCATTTTTTTTTTCTTCTGTTGCTTGAAATTTTTTTACCTGTTGTTGGATGCTTTTGTATCGCTGATTTCAAATATGTAATCGTTTTCTCTCTTAGAGCTACAGTTTTTTTAATGACATTTTTAGTATATTTTTTTGTCGAAATGAGCAAGGTTAGAAACGTTATATGTTACAGGAGGTCGAATAAATTTGTTACAACAAACTTCAATGGGAGTTGGGATGCACCATCAGGATTAAAACTACATTGGAACCCATGCGAGGAAATGTCGTCATGCATCGCTAAGGACGCTTCACTATTATGAACTGTTTCTCTGTGTGCTTCCGAACAGAACATAATAGGTAAGCGACCCTAGCCGCGCATGACGACATTTCCATGCATGGGTTCCTATACAATTTTAATCCTGATGATGTGTCCTAACTCCCTTAGAAGTATGTCGCAACATTTATGTGATCCCCAGTTATATATAACGTTTTTAAACTTGTACGTTCCGACGAAAAATGTACGTTTTTAAAGACTAAAAATGTCATTAAAAAATCAGTAGCTTTAGAAGCAAAAGTAATTTCCAATTAGGCAAGATAATGTATTTGTATAAATGCTACAAAAAATTTTTTTCTTGGTGTTACAGTTTGTATGTACTGACGTTCCTCTATTACTTCAATAAAATAAAAAGGCTTTAAATCAAAGTAGCTCTATCCAACTCTTATGCCAACCAACAGTTATTTTCATTATATTTTTAATTTTATAACTTAAGAGTTTAAAACGACTTTGAAACACTTATAGATTATGTTAAAAATATATCTAGATATATGTTTATATTTGTATATGTCAAAAATATCTAAATAAAAATTTGTATTATGTGCCAAAATGTTTGTGATTAATTCAAACGAAATAAAGATAGATAGGGTAAACCAACCAGTGAAGGAACACACCCCAGTGAATGAACATTTCATATATATTTTTTAAAAATAAGATTTTAAAGGTTTTTACTTAGATTGACAGTAGCTTACTACCTAACAATAGGAAGTCATCTGACAATGCATTAGGTTACTTGGTCATATTGTCTTCTCTGGAAAATTTTTTGAATTTGTTAGTATCTGTGCAACACTTTGTTTCTTTGACAAAATTATAAGGTCAGTGTTTGTAGTTATCGTTTAAAATGCAATAATTGTATGTAATAGTTTTATTTTCCTCACTGTGAAAAAGAGAATTCAAAATATGGTTATTGAAATTACATTTTATTTATTTTAAGCATCATAGCGTAAGCAAGTACTGAGATTAGGGGGGGGGCTTATTAACTGGATTACGAAACAATGAAAAACCAATGAATGAACTAGTGTTACTTTACTGGGATTTTTCCAAATTAATGAAAATAAGAGAAAAATTTTAATTTTCTTGTACCTTTAGTGATATTATACATCAAAATTAATCTAAAATTACAAAAAACAACTTCTAATCTGTGAAGGAACAGGCACGTTTCTTCACTAGCAGTAGCTTTTCCAGCGAATGAACAGTATGTGTGAAATATGATTTTACATGGCTCTAAGATAATTAGTAGCTCTGCGATATAGACATAGAGGACACCTGAAATTCTGTTAAATGTTGTATGAATAATTCCTAAAATAATTTCATTCATTCAAAATGCTAATTTAATTGCTAATTTTAGGAAAAGAATTATAATTAATCTATTATTTATCTTTATAAATCTAGTGGTTAGTTACATCATACGATAAGCAGCTTAATAAACTATATTTACTCTAACGAAAACTAAATAAATATAGTAATAAAAACTTGAATAGAACATTTCTTTGCTGGCTTTTGTGTCAATAATTAACTAAATTATTATCCTAATGATATCTTTAACGTCATGACGGAAACGGGTACGAAAAATCCATTTAAAGACAATTATCCAGGTAAAAAACGGATGAAGCTTTTTTTAAGCATCATCGACTGATAACTCAGCACAATGCAAAGCTAATTTCAAGAGGCGCTTCCCTTACAGAGAATAATATTCAAGAGTTGTTTAAAGAACTTTAGAAGAATCTTGAAGAGGAAGATAGCCCTGGCATCCTTTTAGAAAGTGATCGCATCTACAATGCGAAAACTAGAAGAAATTTCGAAGAAATATTTACATTGGCCAAATATTGGGGGAAAAGCGGAAGGTCAAATCAAAAGAAAAAGAAATAATCTACCTTTTGCATTAACTTCATAAAAATGGTGCGAATATAAAGAGACTGAAAGAGCTGAAAAAAGTTAAAGCAAGAAAGTATGATAAAAAGAATACTTAAAAAGATTTTTTTTGAAAAAGCTTTAAAAAATGAGGGGAAATAAAGTAAACAAAAAGTGAAAAAATAATAATAATAATAATAAAAACAACATCTTCGGTTTACACAATGATAAACATTCATGATTTAGAATCGACTATCAAACTGTGAGAAAGAAAATGAAAATTTTTTTATTTTTTATTCTGTATTCAACCTCACTTTCTTTCCCTTCGTGACTTAAGAAAGGAACATTTTCCACATTTTCTCTGGTTATATGTTATAATTCAAAGAAAAGTTTTGCTTTTAGATATTTGTATGGCCTATTAATTCCAAAAGAACATCGAAAATTCCCAAAATTAAGTGTTCATTAAACTGGAAGTGTTCATTAAGATTTGTGACTTAAGACAGGAACGTTTACCACATTTTCTCTGGTTATATGTTATAATTCAAAGAAAAGTTTTGCTTTTAGATATTTGTATGGCCTATTAATTCCAAAAGAACATCGAAAATTCCCAAAATTAAGTGTTCATTAAACTGGAAAATTTGTTGTTTATTCACTGGTAAGAACTGTTCCTTCACTTGGTTATCTTACTACTTATTATTTGAACCACCAAAAACTTAAAACAATATTATGTAAGTTCCCTAACCTTTTTTTTTACATAATTTGCATTTAATAACAAATATGTTGACACTGTCATTTAACTCAAATAACAAATTTTGTAATTTTTATGATTTTTTTAAAGAGAAGGTAAGCTTAAGTGTTCCATCACTGGTTAGTTTACCCTATTACACAAAAACTTGTATAATCATGAGATTTACTGAGTTTCTTTTTTATGATTCTATTTTTAGGAGGAAAATCTCCCCAAGTGGAACACCTATTGCAAAACAACCTATTCTAGTACGTTCGCCATCTCTCAGCAGTATAGGACAACTGCAAAATGATATAGGTTCTGGAAATCACATCATTTATGGAGCCTATTCCCCTCCCTGTAAAAACATGGGAAATATAGGATCTTATTTTCGACAAAGCCCTGGTGGTGTTGTCGTAGCACAACCCACTCCTGTACATTTAGATGATGTTAACGTTTTCGACGTTGGTAAGTTGTAGCTTCAAATTTTTTGGTCTTAATTTTTTTACATTCATTAATGTTTTAAAATTTCATTCACACATTAAATCGTTTAATATGTAAAAAAAATTGCATTTTAAAATAATAATTAGTTTTTTAAAATATTAATTAATATTTTAAAAGTAAAATTCTTGTGTAGAACATCAACTCTGACACTCTTTAAGCTTTTAACATAATTTACTCATTTTAAAAAAATCATTTGTTCATTTTCAAAACTTTAGAATAATCAGGAGCCAAAAATCATATGTTAATTTAAACAGCTTCATAAATTAATTAAAATCAACTGAGAGTTGTTTCACTGATTTTCTCAAACGTGAATTTACAAATATATCAACACAATTTGAGCTTCTACACTGGTGTAATAATATTTTTACAATATTTACATTCACTTCTAGCTGTTCTCGAAGGATCTGGTAAATTACCAATCAACCCAGGCAATGATGGCTGGGAAATTCTGCATCCTAACAATAATAATAATGGAAAAGTGAGTGATGGCATGCCTGAGGTATACGAAATGCATATGGATGCTCCAGCTTCTTATGGAAGGAAGGTTGTTACTTCCCCTTTGAATTTAGTTGTAAGTACGATTTTTTTTTATTTGTTCAAATGATTACCTTGTTGTAATTCAATGTTTCTATCATAACCATAAATACATCATCAAAACATAAAACACACATTTTTATCATAAACGTAAAACATACTGACACAGCCTTTTCAAAATCTTATAGTGTGCTAAATATTGTGTTAAAATTATTTGGGGTAGTTACAGCAAACAATACAGAGTTGTAACACATATGAACCTTAAATGATACATTTTTTTTCCAACATTGTCTCATTGTTGGGATCTCTATCTCAAAAACTCTCCATTCTACTTTTGTTTAGATACTTACATTAGTAGATAATTAAAATTTCTACAATGTTTAGCACAAGTCTTTTTTTTCTCACATTTTTTGAGATTTGAAAATTTAGTTTTGTAAAAGCAAAAAATTCATGAATCTTAAAATTCAAAAGTTAGGATATTAAAAAAAAATCTTATATTAAATTGTGAAAAATTTTATTGTTTATTATAATATAATTTATCGTTATTTCGAATATTATGATTCAATTACTACTACAAAAAGGAGAAGATTTGTTTGTTCCACTTATTGCCAACTTTGTATTTGTTTCGGTAACGTCTTCAAAAATAACGTATTTTCGGAAAATTATTTTAACATTGCTTTACACAAAAAAAATTTCGAAGCAAAAAATCAATTTTTAATAAGTTTAGGTTCATGGCCTTCCTCAAGAGTCACTCCTAATAATTTTCAAAGAGTTTAAGAAAAACAACAACTTTATTTTTATATTCTATTTATTTATTTATTGTACATGCAAACCTCACTGTATATAGTGTTGTAACATGTCATAATGTACTCTATGTATTTTTTTGTTACTTTCTATTATTTTGCGTATTACATGTCTCAGTGTATTTCAATTTACTTAATACGTTTTTACCCCAACTTTTTAGGATAATGGTAACATATCAATAGCAAAAATAACACGAGAAAAGATGTTGAAACGACAGCAGGAGATCATGAAAGAGGCCGAAGAGAGAAGACTAAACAAAGAAAGAGAGCAACAGCTTCTTGAGCAGAAAATTCAGGAACAAGAGATTCAACAAAATTTAGAAAAGGAAATAATTACTGTGGAAGATATTCCCACACAAACTGACATTCAATCATCTGATCAAAAAGTTGTTGAAACTGTTGTTTGTAGCTGCAATGAGAATTCAAAACCCTTGCCAAAACCAGAGACACCCACAGAAACTATTCAAGTGCCAAGCAAACCATCTCCTGTTCTTCAACAAAGTAAAAGAATGGATTCTGCTCGAAATAAAGGTATATATGACTCAACAATGGGGCACATTAGATAATATATATTTAGCATCCTTCTATCGGAATAAAAATTAAAAATATATATTTGTGACTTGTATTACATTTTATTCATCGTTTAAAAATTAATTAATGATTTATCGTTTAGTTAAGACCAAACTAGTCTATGTAAATATTCTAATAAATCGAAAAGTATTTGGAAATATTTTACACTTTTAATAAGATTTCAATTTTAACTTCCTTTTTTATATTTCTCACAATTAAAAAAAATTATTGCAGCTGTGACTAATACAAAATATGTGACACAATTGTTTTTTCTTAGTTTAAGACGAATGCCTAAAAAATGCTTAAAATGTTTTTCGTTCTATAAAATTAGGGTTTTTACTTCAGGAATTCAATAATTTATTAAATATAGCTTAAAATGTTTTGATCCTGGTCACAATCAAAGATTCAATCATCTTATGACCGGTGCAAGCAAACACGATATTGTCTACAAAGGGAACTCATCGTCATTCCAGACTCAGACGACTTTCCAAATAGCTATAGCTCTCAAATTTTATCTTGAGTCATATACTAGGTTATATTGCAAATTTTAACCGTTTTCTGATTGCCATAAGCCAAAATTTGCTGTTCTATTGCCAAAAGGAATTCATCAAACAAAATTTTGGCCACTTTCCAATTAGCCATAGTCAACAGATCATAGATTGGGCTCTCTCCCTGATGGCAAGACAATTTTCAATGATTTCTAAATGTTACAAGCAATTTTGTTCAGCATTTTTATTGCCAAGTGGAATTTGTGCCTACGAACTATACAAGTTATAATTATTAATTTTAAATTGCAAGCAAAGTTCTTAAAATCCATTTTAGCATTAATCAAAAATTTTTCCACTTGCATAAACAATTTAGTAAAACTAAAAAGCTGAAGAAATAATGAAGTAAAAATTGCTGTAGAAAACCTTCTGATATTATTTAAAAAGTAGAATAGGAGAAGCGGGGATTATTTTCAAGTTAAATTGTCAATTTCTTTACTACTCTATTCAATCTCTTTATTACTAGTGTCAACCCTGTTTGCAAAAAGTTTTACTGTTCTTTTAAGCTTTAGAGTATCACATTTGTTCAACAGCTTTTTTGAACACTTTAAAACTGTGTAATGGGTAAAATAAACATGGAAATCAAAGGAAAAAGAAAAAGCCAGTAAGTAATCCCTCTTACTCTTCAATATTTTGTTTTTAATTCAGAAAAAAAATTATATTCATTGATAGAGGGTTAAATAAAATAATCTGACTACATCATATTATTCTTGATTTTTTATTTACAGTTTTTATAAATTTTTTTATCTTAATTGCTAAAATTTCAGGCTCTGCCAAGCCACTTTCACGCTCTTCCTCTCTCAAAACACCTAGTTCACTTAGAAGACATACTCAGTAAGTTTATCAATGAAGATTTTTTCATTTGTGCATTCATTTTACTTTTTTAGAATAGTTCAAACCATAGGTTCCCGACCTGTTTTTTGAACAAAACCCACTTTACAATTCAAAAATTTTTTAACAACTCCTTGCAAATAAATAAATAAAAACAGTAATAGTCATAAATAAGTTAGTTACTGAATTTTTGTCCCATTTTAAGTTTTTTTATATTTTTATTACAATACATTTCTATAGTCATAGCAAAATGTCCTTGAAAACATTCCTCAAATAGCCGATGCATTTATATTAATGTTTGAAATTAAATGTTCAATTAAATATTAATTTCTTTTACATATTAAAAAATGTGAAATCAGGTATGTTGTTTATGATTGTTATCAAATCTGCAATCCATACTCTCTGTTTTTCAGTACAGCTTATACTGATTGATACACATTTCAAAATTCAGCTAATTCATAGTTGTATTTTATCAATAGCTTATTAAACCTCAAGAAATTCCTACCCCCCCCCAAATGATTTAGTACCGACTAGGACGAATTAACGCCCACGTTTGGAACCTATGGTTAAAACAGATTACTGGAGAATTAAATCAATCAATATTCAATCTTATTATTTGGTTAAAGATCATTAAATAAATATTGATATTATTTATATAGTGATAAATATTTGATACGCTTATCTAAATAAGCAAATTGTAGTTGTTTAATATGTATCATCACTCAATAATACTATTACTTAATGGCATTTCTCTTGAATTGCATACAAGGTAGTATCTGACAAAACCCTAAAGAGTTAAGTGTAGTGCAATAAAAAAGTTTAAGTCACTCTATCGTCAATAATTGTAAAAATTTTGTAAGAATAGAATAAGACTAAAACTAAAAAATCTTTTCTAATATTTTATATCATGAATTGAAATGTTTTTTAGACGTGTTAGTGTTCTGGAGTAATGTTACATAACCTAATTGTGAAAAATTTAAGCTTCAGGTAGATTACAATGTTAAAGATTATCACCTTATTAATTCTGGATATTTATAAAGAATTAAAATTAAACTAAATTATAAATGGAACATCTGCTCCTGCACCCCAGAGCCCAAGGTCAAGAAAACTGAGATGTGCACAGTAGGCCTTGGCACTCTATAGGCTGTCGCACCACTGAGTTTAGTTTAGTTTATCCCCTATTGCATAATTTTGTTTGAATTGAATTGTTCCTCATGTAGTTTTTTAAAATNCATCTGCTCCTGCACCCCAGAGCCCAAGGTCAAGAAAACTGAGATGTGCACAGTAGGCCTTGGCACTCTATGGGCTGTCGCGCCACTGAGTTTAGTTTAGTTTATCCCCCATTGCATAATTTTGTTTGAATTGAATTGTTCTTCATGTAGTTTTTTAAAATGAACTGAGTATTTAGTTTGAACTTTTTTCAATGAATCATACTAAATTATGAGTGTTATTTTTTAGGTATTATTAACTTGTTAAATTGCGTTAAATATTTGTATGTACATTGTTATATATAATTGAGTGAGTTTATATTAGTGTGAAAATCTGTATTATCTTATTTTTAATAGATAAAACCATTTTTTTTACAATTTCATGTGAAAAACCACAAGTAGTAGATTTTATTTTGAAAAATAAATCTGAAAGCAAATCTTTGCAAAGAATTTTAAGTGCTTATATGGAGAAAAAAAATTCGAAGTTTTGTTCTCATTATAGTGTATTCTTAAAAATATTTGCATTTTTGTGTTTGAAAGTTTTGTATGTGTGTGTTTTTCTGTGCTATTTGAGTTATATGATATATTTTTAAGATTAGGGTAAATCAGTTATATATTGAAATCGGTAACTCAGTTTGTATTATTTTTGCTGTTACGAATTGTTTGACTACTGTATTATTGTAATCATTTATTAAAAATTAGGTAATTTTTTTATAATTTTTCTCATTTTAGAAGTCAAGTTGGTGCAATGAAAAATTCTCAAAATCCGAAATACAACTTAGCAGCAAGTTCATTAGCCTTGTTTGATGAATCTGCTGATGAAGAATTGGCTTTTCCCAATCCAAATGAAGCATTAAAAAAAGCTCTTAAGTCACTCTCTACAGATACATGGTATTAACTTTTTTTTTTAATATTTGACTGAGAATAAAAGCTAAAATAATTTTTTTAAGTGACTCTGTTTTTTATGACTCAATAATTGCATGTCCTATTTCAGTTTATAGTTAATCAATGCCATGATTGTCCCATTTCAACTAAATCTGCTGGTTATAAGTTTTATTATATACATGTTAAAATACATGTTATTTATATAAAATATATTGATGTTACAGTAAATTTTCAGGTAGGCAGATACTCTTAATGAATATTATTAATTATGAATTAGACAAAAGCTTTACATGCTTTACAAAAATTGTGGAACGAAGCATATTTTTTTTTTTTNTTTTTTTTTTTTTTTTTTTTGCAATTTATTGTAGAAATATTTTTTTACTTTTTTTCAAATTTAGAAAAGTGGTGTCCAGTTTGAAAAGATTGTGAATAATGTTTTAGGACATAAATGACTGTTTGCGTCTGGCTACAGAAGTGTCTTCTTCGTAGAGGAGGTTCATAAAGGTTTATCTATATATGATACACATGGAATTTTTTTAAAAATGTCCATAATAAGAGGCTTCCATTTTATAAGAGTGTCCGTAGCTTGAGGTTTCACTGTATATAAATGTATTCATTTTGTCAACATCATTATTCATCAATTGATTACATCAACGCATTTTTTATCCATTAATATGTCATATTTTTAAGTTAAATTATTGAATTATGTTATTTGTTTTCAGCTTAGAATATTGTACAAATCACAATTTAAATTTTTTTTTATAGGATGGGAAAAATTGAAGGTATTCGAACTGTTCAGAGACTTGCCAAATGTCATCCTGATATCCTGCAAATGCAATTGCATTCAGTTGTGTTAGCCCTACTTACAGAAGTAAAAAATTTACGATCATCTGTTGCCAGGGCAGCTATACTTGCTGTGGGAGACCTCTTTATTTACTTAAAAAAGAATGTTGAAGCAGTAAGTATAAATTAGACTCTCTTTCTCTGCAAAATAAGTTAAATATTTAAGATTCTATATTTAAGCTTATAATAATTTTCTAAACTAGATTATGGTTGTAATAGATAAACAAGATTATGACTATAATTGCTGGACTTTTTCAAATTTTTAATATTTGTTGTTCTTCAAATAAAAGTATTTTATTGTCTGGTAATTCTAATCATTTTCAGTTAAAATTTTTTTAAATAAATAAGTTTAAATGAATACAATTCTTTTCTTCTTTCTTTTAGGATTTAGATCTAATAACTAGTACTCTTCTAAGTAAATGTGGAGAAACAGTAGGATTCATTAGAGATGATATTGAAAAAGTGATGAATTACTTAATAGAGACTATTACTCCTTGCAAAGCTGCTCTTTCCATAATTGCTGGTGGTGCCAGGTAACATACTTGTTTGTCTAACAAACGGGTCGCATTCATTTCATCGACAATCACTTCATCGACACACCATTTCATNATTTCTGACATGACCTGTCAATGAAATGGCCTGTGGATGAAGTGATTGTCGATGAAATGAACCAGACCCCTAACAAACTTACTTATTATTTAAAATGCTTTGAAAATCTTTCGTTTTTGATAAAGTTTGCATCATTTTAATTGGGTTGTAAACTTATGGTTTTATGATATATAAAATGACTTTATTACAATTGTTTTGTTTACATATTTGTTCTGAAATGTGTAACTTTTAATGCAAATTGTGCATTAAATGATATTCTGAATAGTTTTGATCTAGTTATAAATTTTCAAACACTGGAATGCAAATCTGGTTCAAAAAGTCAATATAACTAAAAAATAGATTGAAGCAGATAAAATGTTATCAGAGTGTACGAAATCAGTCAAAAAAAAGTATTTTTATTAAATACCTTTTTCATTTGATTTAGAATCTGCTCACACAATATATCCAAGGTAGTCATAATGTTAGTTGCTATCTAATATGAATAATTTCACACCCTTAACTGGGCCACAAACCATAGGGATTACATCTTAGTATGTGAAAGTTACTGGCACTGTTTCAATTATTCTTTCACAACACATTAATAAAGTTTTCAAAATACTAACATGATCAATTCAATAACATCATTTCTACTTTTGATTTAACATTCTAGTATGCATGTTGTTATTGCCCCTTTTTCATAATCCAATACCAGCTAGATCAAACTCATGAGTTTGTGAACCCTGGAAAAATCAATCACCAAGTGCAGTTGCAAGGATAAGAGGATAAGTCTTTAAATTATAGATTTATACAAGCGAGGATGTGGTTGGGACAAACTAGATTGATCATGCACTTGGTTTTTGTAGGGAAGACCCTGCTCCCAAACTCGAAGGTCATACATTTTAATTGTCCTCTAATGAGTTGTGAGACAGCAGTTTGATCGAATATTTCTTCCTTAAACTGGGCACCTTCGACCATAGCATTAATGAATGGGGGATAAGCCAATTCCATCTGTTTCTATTTTTACAGAAAAAAAAACTCTTAGAAGCTGATGGAATAATCAAATCTCTCTGTCTTAGTGGTGGCTCTTTTGGCTAGTTCGTTGACGACTTGATCAATGATATGGGCATGGGGTGGGGGCAAACGTTGGAAGTGAACATTTAATTATTGAATGTAGTTATTGGTATACATGTAGTTATAATATGTAATTATTAGGCATGTGGTATCCACATATATTTAGATATATTTGTATTCCACATATATTTGTATTAGTTATCCACATATATTTACATGTACTTATAACTATGTATAATGTTCATAACATAATGCATAAATTCTTTTACATATGCGAGTAAATAGTGCATTTTATCATTCAAATCTAAATTTGAAGAAAAATAAATAAAATACCAAACAATTCTATTTGTTTTGGGAAAATCACTATCTTTTTTTAACTATGTCTCTGTTTATGTTCTGGCTGTATGAAAGTTTTTAACTCAAACTTTAAGTCACAAATTTATTTTCACTTTTAATTGATTTAAAATGGTATTTTTTTCAAAGTCATCGCAATGGAGCTGTACGCAAGGTGGCTGCCCAGTCCTTATATTCAGTTGTAGAAAAAATGGGAGCTGCTAAAATTCTAACTGGTTATAAAGATGTGACTGAACGTTTATTGCCTACCACTGCACAATTTTTGATGGATGGGATGCCTCTTACCAGGTATAAGATTTAATGAAAAGCCAAATCTATTTATATCTATTTTTAAATTGGGCACTTGCATAAAATAAAATTTAAAAACCCTTTCTTGACTTTTTTAGATACTATGGACGTAAAATATTCTACCTATTAATGCAACACCCAGTTTTTGACAAGCTTCTAATGCGATTTGTTCAGCCGAGCACGTTACGCAACGTTAACAGTATTTTAGATTCTTTGAGGAAAAAAGTAAGTTGCATAAAATTAATGATAAAATAGTTTCATTAGAGTATTCTGTAGATATTTCTAACCATGCAAACTCACTTTTCTATTTTTTAAAGAACCTAATAGCCCAGTTTTCTATATCTCATGTTAATTTTAGCATTTACAAAAGATAAAATTTACAATTTTGAATTTCTCAAATATATTTCTTTATTTATTAATATTATCCTTCTGCATACACTTATTTTATTTTATTTTATAACCATTAAACAACAGACCCAGTTTTTTGGGTTTCTGATTTCTAATGTTGCAACTTTGTAATTTTTCTTTCCGTAGTTTTGTAATTTGGAACCCAATCCAGAAGAAGGGAACTCCTGGATTAATTATTAGGAGAATTTCTCTTTCGTGGAGGACTTTTTGATGAAACTAACCCGCATTTGCGTTACATGGAGAGGAAAATTTATACACATATTGTAGAATATACAGATGTAAATGACTCACATGTTGTGAATGCAGAGTTTTATAAAACTTTTTTTTAATTATTTTTCAAAATGGTGGCACATGAGTTTAGCAATCTCCTCAAGAGTAACACCTCTGCACCAAATGACTGATATCAAACATTAGTTTTAAACATATTCAATGTATGCCTCTAAAGGAAAGTGAAAAACCATTAAATCTTTTTATAATTCATTTTATCACTTTTCTAACTTAATCCCTATCTTAAAGACTTACTTAACTACCTCTATTTTTAATAATGACAGTTGTAATTTTTGCTGTTAAAAAAAATTATTAGTTTCAGTTTTCAAATTTTAACTTTTTCTTTTACAAAACTAAGTGTAAGGAAATATTAATGAACAATGACAAATAGATATAAATAAGGCTAGATAATAGATGAAAAACGGTACCCATTGGCGACCTATAAATTTTAAGTGAAAAGTGGTGTAACTCAATATTTAAAAAAAAAATTATTTTGTTTAATTATATCGCATTTAATCATATCTTTAAATATAAAAGTAAAGAAATTCCAATAATTTTATAAGCATTAATAGACACTGACTTAATTGTTTTTCTGCAATAAATTTGAAAACTTCTGGTTATTTAGAATTCATTTGGAGGAGATTATGCATTTTTACAATATATATCAAACAAACCTAGAAGTGCCTATAATAAAGTATTTTTGACTTATAAACAGCCACAGTAGTTCTAATTAAAATGAATTTAAAAATATTGTTTTATTAGAATAGAACAAAGGCTAGTAGTAATGATTGTAACTATTACAGTATTATAACTACTATAGTGATGATTGTACCTTAGAATTTTACCAAATAAAATAATCATATTTGGACTACTTTATCATTGCTTACTAAACAAAGATTTTTGTTGATCACAAAGATGAAATGAAATATTAATTTTTTAACTATTTTATTTACAATTGTTTCAACATTTTATTTCAATTTAAAGACATAGAATTCAAAAGATCATTTATCTTTTTTTTTCATACTGTTATCTAACTTAGTTATAAAAAAGATTAATTGAGAAATTGTCAGAGATTAATTTTGTTCCATAATTATTTTTTATTACATATTTCAAATTATTCTAGTTAATTTCATATTACTTAATAACTAATTTAAGGTTTATTGGACTGTTATTAAATTCTGAAAAATAAATTTCCTACTTTAATCATTTTTACAATTTTAGGGTCCTGGCGAATTGCCTAAAGAAGGCGTTTCTGCAAAAACTTTGAAAAGTGAAACATATCGAAGTCCACTTTTGAATCGGACTATGTAAAGATTTCTTCTGTTCATGTAATCAAAAAAGAAAAATTCATTCAGAAAACGTTTCGTTTGTGATATTCATTCATAGATTTGAACAGGGACAATACCTATTTGAAATTCATGAATCCTTAGCCTTCTTCAGTGAATAGAAACATGAGAAATATCACAAATCTGATTGTTTATTCAGACCTTGAATACAGTTCAAAATTACAGCATATCATTATCATATTGTATTTTATTCTGCCGTCCAGTTATGTGGTGTCTTCATATTGTGTGTGATGATAAACAATTGAACAAGAGCCCATGAAATGTGTTTTTAAAGCTTCAGAGAAAAACTTTTATTTTTCGTTCAAACATGAGTGTTGAAAAGTTTAATAAATATTTTATTGAAGGATGTCCATTTAGTTAAGATTGACTAGATTGTAGAACGTAATTTCTTGTATGTATAAATTGCATATCAATTCATTAGGACTTTTGAAGGTTTTATAAGAACTGCCTTACTTTTCAATGGAATGCAAAATGAGAGATTTGTTTGGAAATTGTTTAAGATATACCATATTATTGAATATACCTAAATGTGCTTTCCCACTAGTTCATAAGCTTATTGGAAGCACGCAAATGTAGGTAGAATAAATTATGTTATAACTGAGTTGTCTAGATGCAAAATCTTCTGACATTGCTCTCAGAAAGTATGAACTCTGATATTTTCTTCTTTTTTTCAAATCAAAATGTCAAAATCAAATATCAATTTTATATTAAAAGCTTAAATTGTAATTTTTAAAACAATAGTATCAGAAGCAGGACATTTCGGCCTCACAGTTTTGATCCTGTTGCTCTTTCGGTTCCACTAATTATGACATTAAAAAAGGATAATCTTTAATAATTCATTAGAAAATTGTGGGTAATCCCTCATAAATATTTTTAATAATTTTGGCACTCAACTTTACACCAAATAATTTTTAAACACTTTATAGCCATTTAAAATTCTTGATTTTATGTCGCTGGAAATGATTGATAAATAATTTAATATTCTGAAAAATATATTTAAGGCCATTATGAAACACTTAAAAAAAGTAAGAAATGAGATGGAATGTCAATATCAAAATAGACAAAAGTAATTAGTAACAGAACTGAATTGGGAAAGGACCTAATTAACAATGAGACCGAAATGTCATGGACCAGTAATCACAGTTTTTTCTGTTGCCTTGTTTATTTTTCGTTGTTAAATTAACTACAATGAGCAGGTTTTGCATTTGGACCACTTAAATTATTTCAAGTAATGTATCCTTGTTAGAATTTATGTTGAAATTTTGATGTTTTATGTATACAATTATGTTGGTATATGTTATATTTCAGTAGAGTAAGATGAATTATGTGATATTACATTTTATTGATGTTCAAGAAAGTAATTCACTATATTGTACTAGTCATTTAAATATGTTGAGAATTTTTAGTTTAAAAATTATTTATATTTATGTTACTTATTTAGAATTATATGAAATTGAAATTGTTATCAATTAATGTATTTTATCAGTAATATTAAGGTTAAACTATGCGTTAACTTAGATGTTAAGTTGTTTTTACCTAAATAATGATACATGTAACACGATCAAGTTTAGCCTTGGAAATAGAACCAATGTGATATTTAAATGTTGATAAAATAATTTAAAATTATTTCACTGGGAAAATTGCACTATCTATTTAAAAGAACTATTTTAAATGATAGTGATTTCTTATTTCGTGTTAAAATGGAAATTTGTGAAAAGTTCTTGTATATAGATTCTAAAATTATTTAAATCATTCATATACCATTGTCATCTATATCCATAATCATTTTGAAATACTTTTAATTAATGTTTTCATTAGCCATTTATATAAAAAAAATATAGAGTTCTACTATTAAAATAATTAAAAATGCAGCATTTTACATTTTTAAGTTATTCATTTAATTAAGCTCGTTTTGTCAATACTAGTGTAGGTAACAAACTGCTTATTATTCTAATTAAAAAAAAACTTAAATCTTATTTAACTAATTTTTTGCCGTGTTATGTTAAAAAAAAATATTTCAATCATGATGACAAATACTTGATTCTAATTGAATTTTTTTTCCAGTCAATAATCAAATACCATAGAAATCCCCTTTTAATCTAACTTTTTTCCAGCTGTATAACTCAGGAAATTGCACACTTCACTCCTATTATTAGCTGATTTGTTTAAAATAAAACTTATTTTATTTTAATTAAACTTAAATTTAATAATGGATGTAAAAAAGTTCATCAAATGAAACTGGTTTCTTCTAGAGTATTTTCAATTTATTATTCCTAAAATTATGAAAACTGTAAAAATATATATAAAACTATCGAAACATATATATTTAACCTATAGAAACAAACTTTATAAAAAAATATATAAAAAATGTTTCTGCAGAGTTCTTAAATTTTCAGAAACTAAATAAATATACATAAATTTAATACTTTTCTATTACAGCTAATGAAGTTCGCTTTATTTTAAGAAACTAGGTCTACTTAATCATTATCCGTCCAGAAGTTTAATTAAAGTTTTGTTTTAATGAAATAAATTATATTTTTAAAAACTAGGTTTACACAGCTATTTATTATCCGTCCAAATATTTAATTAAAACAGTTACATTTAATGAAATTTGCTATATTTTAAAAAAACTAGATTTACAAAAGTATTTATTATCCGTCCAAAAGTTTAATTAAAGCTGGTATGTTTTAATGAAATTTGCTATATTTAAAAAAAAACTAGATTTACACAAGTATTTATTATCCGTCCAAAAGTTCAATTAAAGCTGGTCTGTTGTGTGTGAGTAATTGTATGAAATAAAGTTCATCTCTATTTTTATCCAATTACAGTAGAGCGCCGATTATCCAAACTGCTCTGGACTGAACATGGTTCGGATAATTGAAAAGTTGTTTAAAATCTTGTGTAAATGATTATTATTTATGCATTAACTTCCCTTCACACCTTTTGTAGGCTTTTTTTTCATTTTGAATTATTTTTATCATATTTCAGTTCAAAGAAGACGCGTTTTTTAGCAGCCATTTATCCCTTATTCTTCATAAATAAATCAACTGAACTGGATCAACATTATTTTGACGTTCTAGCCAATTCATTGCGAAATCTAATGGATTGCATGCTTCTATATGGGTCCACTATTTTGAACTTGATCACCTACTTCTTTCACTTCGTCTGTAGAGTTCCGATTTTCATTCAAAATTTCAGCAATAATTTCATCAGAAAGATCTACTGGTTCAGAAACTTCAGTTTCGTTTGTTTTTCTGTTAAGAATTTTATTCCAAGATTTAAGATTCCAAGCACTGTAATCACTAATTATTAACCATAAGTTACAACTACCCATTCCCCAATTATAGAACTTCAGAACTTATCAATTCATAAACTCCTTCTGCATTCCAACCATTGTAGACTATCAAAATGAAGCTTGCATTCTTGGAAGATAATTTTCTGTTGTAAAGGGCTAAAGGGGTATGTAGGTTTAACTGTATCACAATACATGCATGTATGGCAACTATAAGAAAACTGCTAAAAAGGTTGTAAATTAAATATGGTCTTCAGATGTAGGGGGTATTATTTATTCTTCTCAATTTCGAAAAATTGTCGATAGGTTAAAAAGTATTCTGAACTTTAAAAAAAAAAAAAACGAATTCAGACGCAGTTCGGATAATTGGACGTTCGGATAATCGGCGCTCTACTGTATATTACACCACAAGCAGGAATTTTTTAAAAAAATGTGCAATGTGCATTCAGTTTATCAATGCTTTAGAGTCTAGAATAATAGTAAAGTAAAATAAGTTCTGAGTATTATTGGTCACACATTTGATAAGTATACAATCTTTGGCTAAACCCATCTTGTAAGGTCTTTAGGAAAGATTTATGAATTGGGTGTAAATTAATAATTAAAGCCGGAAGAATCTTCTTGCTACTTCAATTATTTTACGCTTTTAATATTATTTATATTTCGAAAAGCTACTTCGTTAACACATTAATGTGTTACTACCTAATTGATCTTATACTCTTATGTTTGAACTATTGATTTGTCATAGTGGGTAAAACAGTTTTACTTATTGAAAAAAAAAACTTTGGAATTTATACAAGTGGGCAGGCTAATATGATGCTGTAAAAAACATTATTGTTATTAATAATTGACAAAAACAAAATTTGCTGGGAAGAAAGATTAAACACTTAAGTTTATTATAGAATTATAAATTCATATTTGCGCTAAAAATATACAACTTTAAAAGTAATATTAAATTGTGTAACTAAAATCATGTTGTCAGTATATAATATAATTATAATCATATTCAAAATAAAAATCAGTAAAACCTTAAATTCATAAAAAATGTATAAATTATCAACCATTATCAAAATTATTTACATAAATTTAGTAAATTTTTTTTAATATGAAATATATATGCTGTCCTGATCAATATGTAATTTAAAGTGATTGTATATAAAATAGTTCTAGTGTACTGTAATTTTTACGGTTTTATTTTGAAATTAAGGTTTCAAATACCAAAAATACATCAAAATAAAAAGTGTCATATTGTCATCAATGTTGGTTCTGTTATTTTTTTTCAATATACTTGTTTTTTTTTTCTTTTTAAATTACAATTGAAAACAGGTTTTTGCAGCTAAGAAATAAGTTTATTTTTACATACACTTTACACTTTTAGTGTGAACATATATTAATTTAATCAATTTAAAAATAATTAAAACTATTTAATTATCTTCTTTCTTCAGGGTAGGGTTTTAACTCTAAAGCTGTTACATAATCTTATCTTTATTTACCATTTTTAAATGTTATTCAATTCAAACTGAATAAATGTTTTATTTTTTTAAAAACCAAATAGCTACACTGAGAAAAAAATTTAAACAATTTATTCACCAATTACAATTATTGTTCTTTTTATTTATAATTATTCTGAAATTTTAAATTAGACTAACGATAAAGTGAAACAGAAAGTACCTCTTACAAATATGAAAGCTAGTTAACATAACTGTTACAGTTAAAATATTTTTTAATAGGTTTGCCACTTTTATCTTACATAGATCAAGGAAAGTAATTTATTAATGTGATGTATCTTTTGGCATCACCATTCTACATTTTAAGAAGTTGTTTCAATTTTTCTATTTATTAATACGTTGCACCTTGGGTAAATTTTTCAATGTTGTTTCGACTTAAAGAAGTTAATAAAATAGGTTACGTAACCACTCAGGAAGAATTATGAGACTTCTAACCCAGAAATGTATTATTTATGACAAAAATGTAATATTCTGACCCTTTATAGATACAATAATGAAAGCATGTTTGTTTTATTTTTTTAAAATCTCCAAAAAGCTTTTAATAATGTTAAATCAACCTAAATTACATATAAACATTCTTAAGATAGCTTAAGAATGATATAACATTGATTTATTAAGTTTTGTCGGTTTTACATAATTCTTCACCTGAATTTTTGTTTTATTTTTTAGAAAAAAGCTACTTTTATGTTTAACTTTATTAACTTCATTATACTAGTCTTATGTAATCTTACTTAATTATATTACTATAATTAAGTAAAACTACATAAGACTAGTGTAATGAAACTTCAAATTTATATAAGTTGTTCCATATGAAATGTTCATTTTAATATATTTTTGCATATCCTATCACAAAAAAAACATGCTTCCTCTAAATATCAATATATTGTACTCATCAGGTATTTAAACACTTATATGCACACGTGGTGATACATTCATTAATCTCCTGTTAGTTCTACATGTAGAAAACTATCTTCTGATCAGTCTATTTTCCAACATAAAAAAATTCCGTTTCTCTCTTGCCATTGTATATTAAAACCGAAATTGTGCGATTAGAATGTTTTAAGAAATTTTCAAATTATTCGCAGGTTTGAGCATTCAATTTTTATAATTGTTGGCAAGTAAAACAATCTATGCTTGTAAAAGAATGCTAATTTTAGATAGCATAAAGTACAGTATTAAAGAATCATGGAAAATATATCTGTTGATGAAGTTAGGTTTTAAAAGGTATTAATCTCGTACCCACCACAACCCTATTCGATAATCAGTACAATTCCTACATTAACGTTCAAAATATTAAAAAATTTAGGTGTGGATTCAGCTTATAAACATGTTTTTTCATAGATATCCTGTTGATAGAATTGCAATAGTTTTGAAAATAAAGTCATAGTAGAAAACAGTTTGAATTGAAGTTTTTCTTTCAGCATTATCGTAGAAATCAAGAAAAGTTTTTAAAATTCTGCTAGATCTATGTGCCTCTGAAGCAGTGGCCAAGTTCTCAAAGTTACTTTTATCTAGTTCTTTCAAATTCTGCACCAAAACTCATTTTGAGTCAAAATGGGATTACTTTTGCAAATACAGAACGTTTTTTTTAAGCTGACTTTGTATTTTGTTAACATTGTTATGTCCAAGTCAGGTATTAATATTTGAAGTTGTGAATTGATACATTTTTATTATTGATAAATTTATAAACGTAAAAAGGTGCTAAGCACCATGCTCTGGTTATCCATCTAAACTTTCAAAATACAATTCAATCTGTTTCCTAACATACATTGAAAAATAGCAATGAAATTCAATCATACCACATGAATCTTCAATAGAAAGAGATCAAAATACCCACACATTCAATGGAAACTAGAATAGATTGTTTTTCTCAACTATAACTAAGTATTTTTTTATATAAAAAAAATTAGAACATCCCCTGCGGTGAAAAAAAAATTTAAATTATAACAATAAAAAAACAAAGAAAATTTAGATATTGAAACCCCTCATTTGATATGGAACAACTTAATAGTTAATAAATGTTTGAGAGCATCAAACTTCCTCTTTATGAATTTCTTTGCTCTCAAAATTGAAATATTTTTTTATGTTATGCTGTGTGAAAGATAAAACAGTTCATAGTTTAATAATATTATCTAACTAACTGAACTGTTCTTTTTGATGTAAAGTGAGTATATCATTAAATCAAAGTATATATCATTGTATGAGTATAAACTGAGATAGAAAAGTGATATATTTTGTGTGATTGTAGTAGTGTCATCCATCGTCGACTTTATATCATGAGTACATCATACAGAGCTACTTGTATTTCGTTTTAAAAAGTTCTCAATTGTCATTTAATAATTGAAATAAAATATATAACAATTATGATTTCTTTTATTAATTTAAACATAAACACTTAAAAAATTTTATTAGCAGACTTACAATATGTACACATTATGACAAGAGTTTTTATAAGTGAGTTTGCACTGCTGCATTATATAGATTTTTATTGTCAAAATCTCTCATGCAGCAAAATAGTTCTTGAACATTTAAACAAATGGACAGAGTGTCATATAAATCTATCACTGTATTAACACATTAATTGTGCTGCTCTCTGTTATCGTCTCTGTCTGCCGCACTAGCATTTCCCTGTAGATATTCTAAGCGGCGGCGGCGCAATTCTTCAGCAGGATCAGTGCTGCTTGATGTGTTGGCATGTGAAGAGTGCTCAGAACTGCTCATGTGACCTAAAGCAAATAATTGTAATTGTTCATTTAAAAAAATCAAGATAGTAATTATATATGTACAGTTAACAGTAACTAATGATTAATAAGTAGATTTCATTTGTAATAAAGCAGTTAGAGATGTATATTACTACAAACCACTGCTTTCTACTTTCTAAATCCTAAAAGTAGAATTTGTTTGCTCAAAATCTGGATGAGGCTATATTGTGGTAAATACAAACCTTATTACACTTGCAATGAAAACTATTAAAAAAATATGATGCAAGAACATGAAATCAAACAAAATAAAGAATGGGAACATTTCGGTTCATGGGATGTTTACCTAAAGGAGGTAAACTCTAGAAAGGGTCCTTAATAACAAGAAGCTTATATTATTTATAGTGTATTATAAATTTTAACATTACAAAAAATTGTCCTTTATTGGTTATTAGAAATACATGGCAATTTCTTATCTCTTTAAAAGAAATTAAATACTTATCGATGATTAAAATTATATCATCTAAGTAATAAAACTTTCAAAATTATTTTAATAGAGACACACTTGTGCATTGAGTGCCATGTAAGTAAGACATATAGATTGATGATTCTTAAGTAAAATTTAAGGCAGCCAGATATATTTATAAAACACTCAAAAATGTTGAAAACTAAAATTATAGTAAAACTATGTTTTTAAATTGCTATTTAACATAAATTTTTAAGGAAAAATGTAAGGAATTCATGAAAAGTATTTCCTTTCTTCATGGCCCAGTTGAAACAATATTGGTTTATTCTTACTCACCATTTTTTTCTTTTAGTATTTATTTATTCTTCCTCACAAAAATTCATCCAAAAAAGCAATAAGAAAATTGTAATAAATTAAAGTAGTCTCAAATCTGAATAATCTCCAAGCAAAATAAAAATATAATTCATTCTTCATGGATAGTTGAATGTTCTCTTTTTTAGATATTGAGTAATATTTCACTAAGGTTAGTTTTAAATTAAAAATCATGAAAGAATAACTTTTTCTTTAAATAATTTAAAGTTTTGCATCAGAAAAAGCGGCACAATTAAACTTATCTGTACCGCATTTTATTATTCAATGACTGCATATTTGTATAAATCAATAATGAATTTAAAAAAAGGAACTACGCTTGAATCAAAAACCACAAGTCTAATTTTCAAGCAATAGCATAAATTTATAAAGAGAAAAAAAAATTTAGACTTCAAATTTATGCATTGTTATTTGAAAAATAATAATATACTATAGTAAGTTTTCTCCGACAATAGTCATTTCTTTATCAAACTGTATTACTGTGGCATAGAAATACTGAATTATGCATATGTAATTGAAATGGACAGCATTTAACACTGAGATAATGAAATCAGGTTGAGTTTAGTCACATGTGACTAAACTCATTCTGATTTCATTATCTCAATGTAGGATTTTAAAAATATTAACAATAAAGTGCTAAAAACTTTATATGTTTTCATGGCATGTATTTCAAAAGTTAATTATATATCTTTTAATTATCATAAGTAAACAAATTACCATTCATAGTTGGTCCACTTTCTGTTTTTGTAGAAGGATTGGAATTTTTCACATTATTTTGACTTGGAGTGCTGACTGGCACACTTCTGAAATTCATAAGGGAATTAGTAATTTATGAGGTAGACTGAAAAACATTGATTATCCTAAGTAATTGATACTGGGTGCTTTGGATAATAGAAGTGTTCGGATTATAAAAGCAACATCATTTTCTTTATTTATATTCATTAATAATTTCTGAAAATTGAGTTGTTTTTTACTAACAGTGTTACTTAATATTTCAATTTAATTATAATGAGTCCATTTAATTAGTGTCTCTTTGTCAAATAGGATAAAGATAAGGATCATTAAGATAATTGTTTTAACTGAATAATGATACACTATCCTTTCGAATTAACCATTTGTACAAGAAAGCATCTAATTTAGAATCGTTAGCGGATTTCATTGTTTTTTTAAGTTGATTTCATATATTTATATTCCGTTGGAAGCTTTGAAAGGGCTTCCCTCGATTCCATTTGCACGGAGACATTATATTTTTATTGTGCAGATAATAAAGCACTTTTCTTTTAAGCAGAAAGAAAAGCAATCATGATCAAGCTGAAAATAGCCTAGTAACAATGAAAAGAGAAATGAAAATACAAAAATTACTTTTTCAGATTTCTTTACAAAATCCAAAGCAACGAGCAAACAAAATGTTTATTCAAAGTTAATTATCTTAAAAAACAGGAATAAGGAGCAGAAAGATTTACTTGTTAATGAAAATCGCTTCGAAAAAATTTTTAAGTCAACGAAACATTTGACTTTTTCCACCTTAATAAATTTTGAAGCGCAATTGAAATTTTACATTAAGAAGTACAAATATATTAATTTGTTACTTACATAAAATGGTAATGAAATTGAGAATAGAAAAGAAACTAAATATGTGTGCCAAAAAAAAGGAAAAAACTAGAATTGATTATGGTTAACAGAAGTATTCAGAGGAAAGAGAATTGTATACTACTGTTGTTTAAAAATTATCTTTAAGCTTAGTGGTGTATATGTAATACTAAAGCTCACCTCATTGATGCAACTAAAGATGAATATTGTTGCATTTGTAACACAGCACCATCTAACATAGTTTGTATATTGCGCAAACACCTTATTCTGGCTTCCAGATTTTCTCTTTCCTGTCCTTCCATGGCTTGTAATTCTTCCACTGATAAAGAACTGAGATCTGCAGCGGGTATGGGAGGAGGTGGAGGTAGAACTGTAACATGTTTTCAAAAGTTTTGAAAAATAATTACTTTTAAAAATTTTGGAGTACTTTTTATTAATTTTTGAGAAATTTTATAGGTATATTGACAACAGATATATCATTTTAAGTGTTAAATAAAATATATTCTAACTGTAAAGGAAGTAGTTTTGCAATTATTTTAAACAAAATTTAAAAATGATTATTTAAAAAGTTATTAAAATGTCAGCACATGTAAAAATTAAAGTTTGAAATAAACTAAAAGATTTGATACTCTTAAAAACTTCCATTTAAATAATTAAAATTGGGATTAACCCTGGCTTTGCTTTTCTTTAAAAAAAAGGGAGGGAGCAAGTTGTGGGTAGTGAAGAAAATTCACTAGCACTTTGCCAAGGGGCTGAACACTTTGAGAGTTAAGCAAAAACCTTGTTTAATAATGAAAGTGTAAAAACACATAAAAATCAAAGAAAACTTTGTTTGAAAGTTAGTAAGATAAAATAAAGAAAAATATAAAATGCTGATAAATTTTGTCATCAACCACACATATAAAACTGTTAAGAAAAAAGGTGAAAAAACATGAATTAAAGTTATATACTCTTTTAACAACAATAAAGAATCATAGCAGAAATATAACGTAAAAAGAGACAGGGGAAAAATGAGAAAAATGATGTGAGAAATTTATGGAATAATTCAGATGGCAATAGGCAGAATAGGAGGAAACCTTGAAAGGAAACAGATTCTTCCACTAGACAAACATACTTATCATGAATGCGATGACTCATTTGTTTTACAAGGTATGGCTTTTTAGCTATCATACCAATAGATATTATGCTTTTGGACCATTTAAACTCTGAATGTTTACATTTATGACAAAAGCAATATCGGTCAGCTGTGAACATTTATTTTTCCTAATTAAAAAAAAAATAGCAAGGGTAAAGCAATAAGGTATGACAATTACAACTTTCTAAATTTTAGGGTTTACTATATATGAATCCACAGCCAAATATTTTTTCATTGCTCAAAAAGTAATTTGGATTTTTTTAAATATATTTTGACAGAATAAAAATAATGCTTTACTTAGCAAAATAACGTGCATCTTAAGTTTTAATTATTGTCCTTTATAAGTCTAAATAATTGGTATTACAATCAGTAGAACATACAATTGTTTATTCTCAATTGCAATGTAATTACATTTATTCAAATAAATAATAATAGAACTTTTAAAAAATTTTTAAATTTACTAAGTATGAAAGGAAAACGGTGATAATTTACCACTTACAAAAAGGCATGCAGGGAAAAGGTGGCATAAATAAGGGAGGGGCATTTGTAGGTTGAGTACCAGCAGACGTAGAAGGTCCAGAAGAAGTTGATGGCCCAGGCTGACCACCAGCAGGAGCTAACAATAAAGAAATCGATTAATTTATACTGAATATGAATTATTTAATTCAATTTCAGAAAACTGATATTTGAAAGATAACATACTTTCGTGGATTTAAATTTTAAACTCTCAAATAATACTTTACAATGTTTCATAGTATTAAAATGTAAAAACTTTCATAAATTGAAATCTAAATATATTACTGGGCAAATAGGAGTTAATAAACGTGTACAAAACGACACAAAGAAAATTTAGCTTTACATATTTCAGAAGATAAATATAAAGTCTACATTTAATGAAACTTCTTTCACATTATCAAATAACAGTCAGATATAAAACGTAAGGATAACGTCAGATATAATATGTTTCAATGATTTTAGTTTAAAATTTTAACAGTTTTTAATTCACTTGATAAAAAATTTAAACTCAGAATGAAATCATACTAACTTAGAGTTATATGTAGCTGATAAGATATATCAAGCTCTTGTTCATCTAATTTATAATGAATTAATTCAGTTAAAAGTTAAATTAAGCACAACTCACTAAACTTTACCTCACTAAATTGATTTAGTAATAACTAGTCTTTGCATTATAAAATAAAGATAAAACAGAAACTTTCTAAAGCAATTAATTAACAGAACCCATCTCAAGTCCACATTTAAGAAATATTTCACCTGACTACATTAATGAATTTTTTTTTCTAAGACTTGAAAATGATAGATAATAATTGTTACACCAAAAAGGAATATGTACCAAACATGCTTAAAAAATTCAATGAGTAGCAACCAAAAACCATTTTAAAAAGATTGAATATGGTATCAATTTAATTACATGTAAAGCTGAAATTTTCTGAAGAAATTTTTTTTCTTTTAAATATTGCTCTTCTTTTTTTTACTTGAGTTAGTATTTTGTGCACTTTATGTTCCTTTATGTTAATAATAAATTATATGGAAAATTATTTCAATAAAAAAGAATTACGATTTTGAATAATATTTGCTGATATAATATTAAAATAAACCTTGTAATATATATAATATATATTAATAATATTATTAACATATAGTATATTTATTACATTTTATTATATATTAATATCATAATACTATATATAATTTGTAATAAATATACTATTAAAATAATCCTTGAATAATATTTCTTTTAAAAAGTTATAAACAACTGTATAGGAAAAACTTATTAACTGATTAGTCATGATGAATAAAACGGTGCATAGAAAATAATGAATATATTGAAAAAAAAAGAGAAAATTTTCAACTTTTTTCGAATTATTTTAGTTATAAAAATACTTTTTGAGTGACCTAAAAAAAATAACACATTAGTAGATAAATCAAAATTTATTTTAACTTATTTAACAAAATGTAAATAAAATATTTATAATTACTTATCTTTTATAACGTTTAAAAATAAATCTTAACTAAATAATGATCAAAAAATAACTAACTTAAGAAAACAACAATAAGCCAACATGAATTACATTCCAAACACTTGCACACAAACTTCAAACAATTAACAAAGTAAAAAATAAATGTTGTAATACTTATGCACATTAAAAGCTTTTCTAAATTTCAACATGGCTTGTACTCAAAACAAAATTATTTCCTTGACCTTTCCAGGTAGATTTATGTAAAATTAATTAATAATAAAAATAACAAAATTTATATTTAATAAAATTGTAAATTAGAAATATAAATAAAATTGTAACTCTAAAAAAGACTTAATATTTTATTTCAAAAATTCAAATAATTTAAATTATGCCAATTTTAATATTGACTAGAAGCATTAGTGTCAAAATCATAAACATAAATGAAAGGGAAAATAAGACTGGGGGTATTTACTGAAGAAATTTACTGTTATCAGACAACAAAATTTAAAAATTTATTATAAGTAAGAAGTTGTAGCCAAAAAAAAAAATTGAAACATATAAATAATCTGTGTATAATTGAAGCTAAATCATATTTAATCAATATAACTTTTTTGAAAACAAAGACATAATATAATAAATAAAATAAAAAACATATAATTAAGGTTAATTTAAAAATTATTTATTTTTACAAAGTTAAACATCAACTCAAAGAATATCATACATACACTTTCTCTAAACGAGAAATTTATACAATATATTAATTTAGTTTTTCAAATGAAAATTACTTCTTTTTTTAGTTAAAACACAAATTTTATAGATAAATCTCACTTAAGCATCTCACTTAAATAGCAATAAAAAAGTATATTTTTAAAAAAAATTTAAGAGGTTCTTTTACGTTCTAAATTACATATTTTATTTTACCAGAGGCTTGTTGAGATTGAGGAGCATTTGCAGGATGAGCAACTTGTGGAGCTGGCTGTTGTTGTTGTGGAGGAACAGGTGGCATCATAAAAGGAAATACTCCAGGAAAAGCATTAGGTAAGAAACCAGGCCCTGATTTTTTTTTACAAAAAGAAAGAAGAAAAAAGAATTGGTTAATGTGAATGTTTTGCTACATAATACTGGCTTTGAAGCCTATACATTTATCTTGCAACTTAAATAGTTGAAATGTTCTCTTGGAGAAGCAAATGAACTGGCTCATTTACAATTGTGCACAAATATAATTAATTTCTAAAAATAATAAAAAGGGGAAAAAATTTTTCCATCCAAATAAATTTAAGAGAAAAATAAATAAATAGTTACAGAGACTTCATTTAAAATCAGCCTTACATTTAACACTATAGAACAAGCAATTATCTAAATTATAAACTATACATTTCCAAATAAAAACTAATCTATACTTAAATTGAGAGGGAATTTTTTCCATAAAAATTTATATTTAACTCAAAACCTATATGTAAGAAGGATAAATAAATTGTTTGTAGTGATTCAAGTAAACGACACACACAGTTTTAAAATGCATTAAAGACCCCTTCATAAATAAAGTGAAATAGCAACTGATAACAAAAATGGAAATTGCTCTAGCTTGTAATACCAGGTGTCATGATATTCCGTGCTTAAACGACTGCAAGCTGGCTCAAACAAAATATTTAAGAGTTAATTTAAAGTACTCTATAATTCTTACATTTCAGTATATTTTATAATTTAAATGAATCTGAGTATTAACTAATACTCCTACTTTTAACTTCAAAAAAGTTACAAAAACTTAACTTGCATACTGAAAATTATGGCAATTTATATTAATATACATGTTTGCTATATTTTAAATGTAACTATAATAAATTGTAACCCCACATAAGGGTACATATTACACTTATACATTTATAACTTTATAAAGAATATATTATAAAGTTATAAATGTATAAGTGTAAAATTTAAAATATAAATTTTGAATACATAATTGTCAACCAACTGAATTTAATTATACAGTGATATCACAACAATTCGAGTTTCTAGTTATAAATTATTACAAATCAAATTTATTGTTGTTAAAAAAGAAAAATATCACAAGAAGTCATATCCCTTATCATTTTGGCACCAAAGTAAATGGATTAATTCAAAATATTCAACAATCTTATATTTTGAAATTTTTCAAAATGCTTACTTATTTTTAACCAATCAGGTCTAATCAATTTCATTTTTAAGAAGCTAATGAATACTGTTAATCAGCACAAAATCCATTAGAATACATAAAGTTTTATACAAATATATTAGAAATGGGTTAAAATACACACTCAGTTTGAATTCTTAGACAATTCACACATTTTTCCAGGAAAACAATTTACCTAGATAAAAATAAATATTCAAATAATAAACTGGAAATAATCTTTTAAGTTATCAAACATATGTAGTAAAAAGCTTGTTAGACTTGACATTAAAATCTATTTTGGCTTAATAAACATACCTCTATATTACATGAAACAAAATTTGTCTACAATTTTCTACTCAACCAAAATAAACAAAATGCTAGTACCTAATTTATCACATCTAGAACAATATATTTCACTTGAAAGGTGAAAAAAAAGTTAAGTATCTCAAAGATGAATTTTGGCATTGATTAACTTTTAAATGTTTTTTCGCTGCACTATTGGTTGCTTTATATGAACATTACAAATAATCTAAGATAGAAATTAGAAAATTTATAAAGTTTCTATTAACCATTTGTAAAACAGTTTTCCAATTCTACAAATTTTTCAAAGTGAAGTGATTCACAAACGAAAAATAAATTCTGATTAAATTATTAACAAGGCAAAGAGCTTACAATTTGCAATATTAGGTGCTTGTGGTTGCTGCTGTTGAGCTCCAGGGATTCCTACACCAGGAACAGGAGCATTCTGAGCTGGTTGAGCAGGTGCAGGAACTCGTAGCACATCCATTCGACAAGTCGGACAGGTCTGTTGTCTCTGAAACCATGATCTCAAACATGATGCATGGAAAATATGATTGCAAGGCAACTTTTTGCTACTTCCAGATCCAGACATCTCTTCACGACAAATAATACAAACATTATCCATGGTGGCAAGTTCTTCAGCTGTTGCATCAGGATATCTGACAATTAGAAGACAGAAAGTTATTAAAGTAATACTTTAATAATATATTAAAGTAATACTTTAATAATATTACTTAGAATATAAAACATTTTCATATAAAATACCATATGCATGCTAACTTGTAACATGAAACAGAAAATTTGAATTTTACATAATTTATTTCCATTTTAATATATGTCTGTCAAGAAATTTTTAAAGCCCCTCAATAAGATATTAACAGTGAATATACATATTTTTAGAGTTAACAAAACACTATATGGTAGAATAGAACAGCACTGACAGATTATGTTGGTAGGTTTGTACAATGAAATACCTTAATAATTTTTACTTCAATGCAATCTTATTGGTAAAAGAAATTAACCTTAAATATGCTAATAATTTCATATAAATGTAATATAAAGTTATGAAATTGGATACTAAAAATACCCATTCTCGGTGTTAATATACCTTTCTCTGACAGATTCAGGTTCTTGACCTTAAAATAGAGGTACCTGCACTCTTGAAAAAGTGGTCCTCATAGTTAGTTGTGGAATGGTCAAAATTTTAGATCTTTTAACGTTAATTTCAGTTTTTAAGTTTTAATTTCTCATGTTTGAAATTTTCATTTCTAGTGAACTTTTCAAACAAAATATTAATTTGAAATAAGATTTTAATTAAAAAATTATTTTAAGAGAATTACATTTTTTTATGACAAATATCAGTTAATACAATTAACTCACTTCAATATGCCTCAAAATTTTCACTTAAATATATCTTTAAATTACAACTCACTCTTCATAATTTTGAACTAAATAAAGTAACTCATTTGATTTAGTAAATAATTAACTTTCCTAAATATTTGATAAAAATGTCCTAAAAATTAAATAAAATTTTCTGGAATAATACTTACAGAGTATTCATATTTCGTATCGCTCGACGAGACATTATGACATCATTTACAGCTTTTTTAAATGCCCTGAAATATTATAAAAATTCACCAATTAGTGCAAATTTAATTATAAATAATGCATGGCTGTTTAGGAATACATTAGAAACAGATTAATTATGAAATTAGATTTAAATAAAATTAAAAGAGAATTTTAATTATAATCACAAATTTAAATTTGCATAATGTAGAACTACAGTTCAACTGTAAAAACTGCTAAAAATTAAATTTTAAAAAAAAAAAATATATATATATACAAAGTTTTTTTTACAAATTTTTAATCAATAAATTTTTTTCTTCTTTTTAAGCAATTTAAATAAATTTTTCAATGTTAATTTATACTATTTATTCTATACATACACATGTAAATAACCATTTAATTTTATTAACTCCCGAGAAGGTACGTCCTAAAAAGTTGTGTGAGGTATCTCATACTTCTATTCGTGAAACATGATGCAAATAGTATTATTAAGTTCTTATTTATTATAATAAGTGAATTTACTATAATAAGTGAATTATATTTTATTTACAATAAGTGAATAAAACTTGAATGATAAGAAAAATATTTGATAGTTTATAATAAAATTGGGGAAATCAAAGTTAGTGCATATGGAAACAGAAATAAAGTAAACGTACCACTAAGTTTAATTAGATCTCTAATACACAGTGCTTATTTTATTTGCGTGTATTTTGAACAAAATGCATTAACGTGATTATCGTAAAGAACTTTTTTTAAATTTTAACTATTTCTTTCGAGTGTTACTGTCCCTGATTCGTAATCATTACACATTTGTACTTAGCCATTTGAAGCTCTTGGGGTGGTCAGCAGTGAGTCTTTTCTTGTCAGAAAAAAATTTAAAATGACAAAAGATGACAAAATAAGATTTTTTACATTATTTGAAAACCAATAATAAATGGAGAAAATAAGGTTGAAATTTGGGGAAAAAATCGTTTTACAGGGGTTTATTGCTTCAGAGATCGTAATATTGAAAGGAGAATAACATTAGTTCATATGAAAGTTCATCAGGACCATGAAACATTATCGTAATAGAGGGAGTTATTGTTGTATTGGATATCGTAGTAGCGAGAGTTCGCTATATATATAATAAACAAATTGCAAAAATATTTTCACAGATTTTACAGAATCATGATCAATAACTTATTTTTGTCAAAGAAGATTTTATTAGCCACCATCATAGCATTTTATGCATAACTTTAAATTCTCATTTTATTCTTAAAATCATTAATTAATTTATACAATTATGTGGAAAAAAAATCATTAAAATTTATTTCAAAAAAGTTAGTTCCAAAAATAGTTGCTCTTTCATTTCAAAAAGTTATCAGTTGCATTTCTCAGAATTAAATAATGATTAATTTTAAATATATACTAAATAAAAGCATTTTATATTTTATATTTTCAATCATTATTAATATAATTCAATAATGTTAACAAAGTGAAAGACTCTTCAATTTATACTTTTTTAAAATCTTGCCTCAAATAATTATTGCATTTTCTTCATAAAATAACTCAAGAGTACTGAAATTTTTTTAAACAAATCCATTAGAATAAAGAGCCTAAAATACATTATACAATTAGTGGACGGTTCCTCAGTTACAAACTCCCACTATTACTAATATGATCTTTATTAATTTGAATGAATAAAAGGGAAATGAACATTTCGAAGTGAAGTTCTGTGATGGTTAACTATTCTGGTTCTCCATGAAAATACTTAATTAGTGAGCAGTCCCTACATCAAGCTCTAAGATAGTGATTGGTTTAAAAATATAGCAATACAAGAACTTTATTGGCTTTCCTGTGATGTAAATAATGGCACTTCATCAACGAACGAATTATCAAGAAAAGAAAACGAAACTTTATTTTGCAATTTGAAAAAAATATGCAGTAATGTTTAGTTCAGCCTGGTGATCAACTAATATTCGAAAGATTTTTACTTTGATATCAGAAAGCAGGAGAAGAAGCCTGAAATCCAGAGGCTCTCACAAAATTTAGTGAGCTGCATACCTGAGTGCAGGAACCCTTTCGCCCTTTCAAAGAATTGGGTTCAACATACATGCATGCGAATCTGCGATTATAACCCACATGTGAATCAATTGCCACTTCCTTAGGATATGAACATCAGTATGCTGAAACGGATTGTGGTTGATTGACACTGCTGTGAAAATCACTAATAGCATAATTTGTGGTAACAATCATCACGATTAAATAATCTCTTTTTGGAAAAAAGAAAATTAAGCACTTTTTTCTAACTCAATGAATATAAAGGGCCTAAAAACCTTTAAACCTCTGAGAGTTAGTCCCGGCTTTTTCTGAACTTTTAGCTGCTGGCTTCCCTGCATCAAAATATAGATTTCTTCTATTTCATTTCTGGAAGAGTAGTGTGATTTTCATACATTTTTACTCATGGACTTGACGCTTGGAGGGTTAAGGGCTTTAAAAAAAACTATAAAAAAGCACCTTCAAGCAATATTTAAAAATGTCATACACTCTATCAAGTGAAAATTTGTTCAAAATGTCAAGATCAAGTTGAAAGTCAGATATTAAATGGAATAGAGAATTCAGGTTTCACTAATTAGTTATATTTCAATTTTTTTACAGAACAGGGATGCATGTACTTTTGTTATAATTCACCCCATGCAGATTAAAATAACGTGTCAGAGAACCATTTCTAGCATCATTAAATATCCAAAGTAAACGGAACAATACTACTTACCTTAAACTTAAATACATAGGCCTTATTGCAAATAATGGAAATGTGTGAATTTTTATCATTATGGTCATGAATAATAAATATAAAACAACCTTGAAAAAACCTAAAATAAAAAAATTACTAATTAGAAAAATCACAAGGCAAAATAAAATATTGATAATGTATCAATATTTGATTTCTAAACACGATACAAATAAAAGATACAAACAAGATGCTTTTTACAAAAATACTATTCAAACATTAATTGAATCACCCACTAATAAAATTTACTGTTAAAAAAAATTTTTTTTTTTTAATAAATCAGGTCTTTTTTCACATTTACCAATCATAGCTCTGAATATTAGTTATGCTAATATTAGTAATACTTAATATTATCTAAAAACAATGTTACCAAAATATTTAATATTTCTAAGTTAAAACAGTAAAAATTATTAGATAAAACTATTACAAACTCATCACTGAATCAAAAAATACCATAATTATTTTTTTTTCTCGGTTCAACACCATCATAAATTTTTCAAGGACCGAGACTCAATTTGCCAATTTTTTTTTTCAAATTTTTTTTTTCAAATTTTCAATTTCTACATAAAAAAATTAATTCTAAAATACACGCACCAAAACAATGCTCTCTTCATTTTTATATAAACAAATTACACATTAATTAAGTTTTAAATGTATTTGTATTTCATTTAAGTAAACAAAATCTAACAACAAATTATTTTCCGTGAAACTAATGGCAAGTTATAATTAAAAATTTCATGGCACTTTTATCTCCACTCATTACTTTATTTTTATTAATCTATTTTAAGCATCAAATAATAATTTAGACGTTATTTCTCAGTATAACAACTTTAATATCAATTAAATCAGATTTTTTAAAAAAAATTTCTACTTAAATCCATATTTAAAAAGAAAACATCAATTTATTTCAATTACATCAACCCTTATAGCATTATCTGAAATTTAATCATAATCTTGTTTTAACTTTCATTATTTCAGTTTTCAAAAAATAAAATTCTACCTACACACTTTATCATTACATTGATTTAAACAATTTAAAAACTATGATTTATTATCAGTAGCATTTAGTAAATAAAGGTTACTATACACATTTGACTTTTCCAGAAAAATTTCAATAAAACTCTAAACCACATTTACAGTATAAATAGCAAATAGATATTTAACAAAACTTACTTTTTGATAGAAAATATTTTCCAAATGTTACAATTTGATCTAAAAATTTCTACTAATGATATTTTACATACATGTATGATAAGTAAAAGTGAAATTTCGCACAATTAAAATAAAAGTTTCAAGTAAGGCTTTCTAAGTTGAATTTTGATATAAATAAACCAAAATCAAATTAACCTGCTTCTCAGAGGAATTGTCTCCAGAAATAATAGTAAATATGTTATAAAATATTATATATATTTAATTAATTTTATCTTATTTTATTGGGTAGGTTTTATTACAGTAATTTTAAAATAAAAGATTTGTCAGAATATTTTTTTCCTGATTTGGACTTTAAAAATATATGAAAATTTTTATTATTTCAACATTTTTAAATCAAATTTCTTGATAATATTAATGTTAAAAGAATACAAAATATTTAATTCTAANACTTACTTCTATTGAATACGGCATTTTGCGTAGTTTGGAATTCGACAGCATAATACAAGATTTCGTTGAATCCAAAAATCGCAAAAAAGTAATATAATAGATCATAAGATTCTGCAAAATAATTTATTACCGAAAAATATATTGTATTTTTATTTGCATCTTCATAATTTTGTGCAAAATACACGTAGGCCTGCATTTTTTGTAGGCCCTAGGCACGTGCCTAGTGTGCCTATAGGTTAATCTGGCCCTGCCCACATGTGAATCAATTGCCGCTTCCTTAGGATATGAACATCAGTATGCTGAAACAGATTGTGGTTGATTGACACTGCTGTGAAAATCACTAATAGCGTAATTTGTGGTAACAATCATCAGGATTAAATAATCTCTTTTTGGAAAAAATAAAATTAAGCACTTTTTTCTAACTCAATGAATATAAAAGGCTTAAAGATCTTTAAACCTCTGAGAGTTAGTCCCGGCTTTTTCTGAACTTTTAGCTGCTAGCTTCCCTGCATCAAAACATAGATATTTTCTATTTCATTTCTGGAACAGTAGTGTGTAGCAGGGTGATTTTCATACATTTTTACTCATGAACTTGATGCTTGGAGGGTTAAGGGCTTTTAAAAAAACGAAAACTATAAAAAAGCACCTTTAGGCAATATTTAAAAATGTCATACACTCTATGAAGTGAAAATTTGTTCAAAATGTCAAGATCAAGTAGAAAGTCAGATACTAAATGGAATAGAGAATTTAGGTTTCACTAATTAGTTATATTTCAATTTTTTTACAGAACAGGGATGTATGTACTTTTGTTATAATTCACCCCATGCAGATTAAAATAGCATGTCAGAGAACCATTTCTAACATCAGTGATAGCAAAATAAATAAACATCCAATGCAAACTATTCAAAGTAAACGGAACAATATTACTTACCTTAAACTTAAATACATAGGCCTTATTGCAAATAATGGAAATGTGTGAATTTTTATCATTATGGTCATGAATAATAAATATAAAACAACCTTGAAAAAACCTAAAATAAAAAAATGACTAATTAAAAAAATCACAAGGTAAATCACAAGGCAAAATAAAATATTGATAATGTATCAATATTTGATTTCTAAACACAATACAAACAAGATACTTATTACAAAAATACTATTCAAACATTAATTGAATTGAATGCAAATATTTTTAATCCTAACCAATTGTGAAAAAACTAAATTTTTAAAAAGTATATTTCCAACTATTTATTAGAAAACATAGCAACCAACTAACTACTTAGTAGGAGTCCACTGTACCCTTTCCTCATTGGCAAACTCAGTTGGCATGATTGCAACTGCATTTGATTAGGAATTGCTGACTATCGAGATTGCTCTTTTTCAGCTGATCTGCCACTTAAATAAGTTCTCCAAAGCTGTCATATTTAGTGACACCAGGGTCACGGGTGTCAACCTCAAATTTTTTGTCTTTTGTAGTCCTTGAATATCGAAGATTGTTACAAAGCTTCCTATCTGCAAAAATGATATTGTTTCACAGTGGATCCCTGGCAATGAGATTGCCGATTCACTGACCAAAAAGGGTGTCTTGACTCTACAAACATCTCCTTCCAGTATATCATTTGGAAAGGGGAAAAAAACGATTAATCAAAAATACCATGTCTGAGGACTTGAAAAAGGGCCTCTCTCTTAGAACAATTCAAGACTCTTGGAAAGACAAATTATTTGTAGTCTCAAAATAACCCACACATAAAATGATGGCTGAGTTTAAAGACTCACCACTAGCCATGATTGTCTCCTGAAACATTTGTACCATTTCAACATAGCTTCAAGTCCTATTTCAGTCTTTTTAATCAGGGACAGGTCACGGATGGTGACCAAATTATCTTATGCTGAGCTTCAGCCAAGCGTAATCCTTTAGTCTACTACTGAGAGGCCAGAGCTTTATGGACTGATAGACAGCTCTCTCATTCTCAATGTTTTTTTTTCTCTCCATATTTGTTATCTGTATGATTCTTAGTATGTATTGATGCAGTTTTCTTTTAATCTTGCTATTCGAAATACAAAAAAAAACTATTTATTAACTGAGTTAATATTTACATTATTTTTATACTCATAATATAGCAATCTTCAACTGTATCATCAATTTTCCTTTAGGTGACAGGAGTTACAATATTTAGCATCAACTGCATTCAAAAATCAAGTTTATAACTGAGGTAGAATAATGCCTAGAACAATTTACTTTAAATAAAAACGTAAGTACATAAAAATTCCTTTTTCAAAAAGCTTTGAAGAACTATTTAATCTTCATAATGTGAGAAAAAGAATCTTGGACTATACATTGACAACAATAAAAATGTTAAAAATAATAAGAAAGTCGTTAGAGGTATTTAACATATGAAGGAAATGAAAAATTTAAAAATAAAAAATCTTTGGAGTACATATGAAATCAAAATGATAAATTAAAATGTGAGGAAATAATAAACTTAAAAGTAGTAAAATATTAAAATAAGACAGAGAAATGCAATCAATATTATTTCTTATCTTTATGTAGTTGTGAGATATGTTACCCAAGTGAATTGTAGACATTCGACAGTTACTTTTTTTTACAAAGACAGCAGATAGATTAATAAATTGCACAAGTTAAAGTTAGTCATTTATTTAATTCCAATTTATCATGAAATTAGAATTAACTATTAGCAACTAAGAACTAGATAGTTCTATTTCCTACAAAATGTATATGTAAATTTAAACTAAATGAAAATAAAAACATTCTATGCAATCAATTATTTCACTCATTTTTAGCAAAAATAAATTTTTAGATAAATAAATAAATTAAAAACTTTCACAAAATTTTTTTTAATTTCATTTTTTGCATACCCATGACTAGTTCACTGTAAAGAAGGAAAACAGCTTTATTTTCCCAAGGATTTTCACTCTGGAGATCATAGAAATGAAGAATGTACTTCATCAATATGTTGAAGACAATACTCAGTAATATGGCATACTGCAAAATAACAAAAATTAAAGCAACTGGCAAACATAACTTTAAAAATATATTTTGACAAAATAAATTAAATGTGGTAATAAAAATAAAAATAATTATCAAAAGTAACTCACTTCAAAACCAAATACTAATTGAACAGATGCACCTTTGGTAACTGTACTCTGATATGCATGATTGACAAAACAAAAATCCAAAATAGCAAGAAGAATAAGAAGAGCTAAAAAAAAAAAATTTAAAAAGTAATTATTAACATACAAGGATTATTAACATACCTGTATTCACTATTGCATCTTAAAAGTCAACTGATTATCATGACATTTTTCTCCCAGTTATTATTTTTTTTAAAGTTACTAATTAAAGAATTTCAGTAATTTAAAAGTTTAAATACTTTATTTAATACAATTCATTTAGAGTAATTAAACATTTATGACTTGAATAATATCCTTATATAGTCGTGAAAATCAAAGCTTCTCCCAGATCAATATGTTAGTTGTTTTGAGAAAATATGGGAATATGTTTCCTTTTTAACACAGAAAAATTGATTCCAATAAAAAAAAATGATATATGACAGAAAAAAATTAAAAGGATATAGAATGTATAATAAAAGCAAAATGAATTATGCTGAAGAGGTAATTGACATTAAAATGATGGGCAGAGAAAACAATTCTATAAAAACAAAAGCTGAGTATGTTTCAATGATGGGATCATTAACATTCACGATTCTTAGACAAATTTGAACTACATTCATAGAATCCAGAGATAAATTTAAAATAATTTGGACGAAAAAACATTTCAAACCAGGAAAGATTACATTTTTGTCACTAAATATTCTTAGATGCAAGTGAAAAAAAAGGTTGTCAAATGTATTTTTAATGTTTCTCTAAACAAATTCAACCACTTAATATAGAATGTTTCTAGTGCTTTGTCACTTTACTAAACTAACATTATGTAATACAACATGGCATACTACCAACTATCTAATATAATGAATTCCAATAACACATTGAAGCCTATTTAACACAGCCATGAATATGGAAAAATTAAAAAAAAAACAAAAACAGAAGCTTGTAAAAGAAGAACTGGTCATTTAAAAAAAAAGTATAAAATGCAAATTAAAAGGAAAATACACAAATTATAAATACACTCTATATATTTTTAGATTACACTTAAGAAAAAACTAAATTTCTTCTGACACTAAATTAACACCAAAAAAGTTTTAAATAATTTTTTAATGGTACAAAATGCTTCAAAGCACTTCCTTTCAGAAAAATTTATAAAAACAAAATATTTTTCTACTAATTAAAAATACAGTATGCATCTAAGATTGAGATTTAAGTCATTTAAGTTGCAATGAAGAAATCACTAAAAGACTCAATAACAAAATTTATTGAAAATGGCTTTTAAATGAGAATAAAATATTATAAATTTATTGAAGATAAAATTTAAAAAAAAATTGTTATAAGTCTTTTGTATTGAATTAAATTAGAATTTTTTTAATATGCTTTAAATTAAAAATTGATATTTTATTACATTACTATTTATGATAAATCATTACTATTCCAAAAGGCATGATAGAGTACAGTTAAGTAATTAAAATGGAAATAATAAATGCGCAGAATTTGTAAAAGAAGTTTTGTTTGCTTGAAATTCTTTTACAATATTTTTTATTGATGATGACTTCTGTAATGAATTAAGTCTTTTGTATTGAATTAAATTATAATTTTTTTAAATTTGCTTTAAATTAGAAATTCCTTAAATGTAGTCTAAAAATAGAAAAAAATTATTTTGAAATATTTACCAAAAAATAAATATTTATATGTTCATATGAATAATAAAACAACTGAAATAAAGTTTTTTCACAATACATTTCTCTAACTAGGACTTTAAACAGATCAAAGTTGCTGATTGAAATGTATTTATTTACTCGTTACCTGACATTAAGTTATAAAAACACTAAATCTCATTTAGTAATGTACTTACATGAAACTCTGATATGAAAAAGTAACGAAATAACAGGACTCCTTTCCATCTAAAACAACACAATAAACTTTAAAGTCTATTTAATGCTAAGACAAATAAATCAATTAAGTGCTAAATAATGAATTAAATCATTACTATTCCAAAAGGCAAAATAGAGAACAGTTCAGTGATTAAAATGGAAATAGTAAATGAGCACAATTTGTAAAAGAAGTTTTGTTTGTTTGAAATTCTTTTATAATATTTTTTATTAAAGATGATGCAATCTTCTTTTTTTTTTAAAAAAAACAACCTTAATGGTGTCTAAAATAACTGTGTTTTAACTGTTCCATAAGCTTGTGCGACAAAAAATCTGCTTTACAACAACAAAAAGAAACAACTACTTATATTTTCAATGCATGCAAAGAAATAAATTTCATTTAGTGTTGCTAAAATAATTGTTTAATGTTTTGAAAATTTAGTAATAAAACTTTTTATAAGTCAGCAATTAATTTTAATTCAAAACCAATACCTTCTTTCCATACTAATGTTTTTATTAAAATACTACATAAGGAAAAAGATGGGATGCACCTTTGACTTTTTTCAGGCTTTCTTCATTTGAAAAACACACACACACAGATCAGGAAAATGTAATAATGCAGAGATAGTTGAAAAATTGTAAATCAGTCTTTTGTTACAAAAAAATTATGCACAAATACATTTTTTATTTCATTTGAATTAAACAAAATATATTGCTACATAAACTTAATGTATAAATAAACTATAAACCCACAATAAATTACAGTGCATTTGGGGAGGACACTGCTGAAATTTATGTAGTGGTTATAGTTTTTAAAAAAGAGCAAATGAAACAGTTTGATTAGTACATGATTTAAAAATTTCATTCACAAAAATATTTAAATAAGAAATAACAGTCGTATTGTTTCAAACACTCAAAAATAAGTGCTCATTTTCAAGACTTGGGGGATGTGACTGTCATTCACGTCTGGAGAGTCTTTAAAATAGACGCCAATTAGAAACATGTTCTTTTTTTATTTTTTCAATTTGCATATTTTTGAAGGGAATGAAGTTTTAAAATTAATATCTTACTGCTTCAGTTTCTTGGGATTATTAATTTAAGTTTGATTATTGCTGTCAATACTTAAGATTTTTTAAAAATTAATAAGTGTAAGAGAATAGAAATATTGAATGTGTAAAATCTAAAGAAGTAATAAAACACTGTAAATAGCTTTATAACAATGTTCATAAAACTTACATAATCAACTCTGTCTTCAGCAAGCCAATGAAAACATTTTAAAAACAGGAGTAACGTAAAGAGAGCAACAAACTTAGGACTGAAATCATCTCTGAAAACAGTAAATGCAAGACATGTCTCTGTTACTGCATACCATGATCGCTCAATAAGGTGCTGAAAATATTTTAGAAATTTCAAACATTAGATATAATTTTCATACATAAATGATTAATAAACAATTGATTTATACAAAATTAAAAATATTAGCTACTTACTTCTGTTTCAGCAGCTCTCAACTGACCAAAAAATATTTTTCTCATAAGTTTACCCAACAAAAGAACTAAAACAAATGCTTGAATGTAAATGACCTGGAAAAGAATTCATCAGATTCAAAACAGGAATTCAATTGTAATTCATTAATAAAATGGGATAAATAATATAAAAAAATTTCATACGGAGGAGTAATTACTCCTTTAACTTATAGCTGCAGATTTTGTAACCATATACAATACCAATGTCAACAGTAAAACTGTTATTACAAAGTTATCACACACTGAAACTAGATAGAACGTAGTTAAAATACTTTATTTATAACTATTACTAGAGTTAGGTAAAATTTTTATTACGATAAAATGTTTCTGAAAAATACAAATAAAAATATATTTGCTAAGAAAATACCAATAGCATAAGGCAATTCACAGTTATATAGTGAATTTTTTTTTGTTGTTGCATGAAATGGAGTCAAAAAATATATAAATTTTAAAAAAAGTTTTTTTAGTTGATGACATTTATTTAAACTGACATAATGAGGATAGCTTGATATGGTTATAGATGAAATGGTGCATACTATGCATTGCTAAGTCTAAATTAAAGTTGTTTCACAAATAAACATGTAGGAAATCTTGATCATTTGTCGAAAGGTTTCTTACTAGTATAATAATTTTCATAAAACCTAATTTTTATATGTTGAAGAGAATTTTAAGTTTAACAAGTATAGTTTTAAATATTTCTTTACAATAATAATTTTAAAAATATTCATAACTATTAATTGTTCTAATATTTAGAGGCAACTAGATTAGTTATTTAAAAAAGTTATATATTTGATGGTCAAAAAGAAAACTTAAATTCACTGTTCAAAGCATGTATTTATTTTTTTACATATTTGGCAAAACAATTAAAAAATTTAAATTTTAAAAATTTGATGACATAATAAAAATGACAAATAATAGTAATAATAGTAAAGTAATCACCATTTCTTGAAGAATGTGTTCTAAAATTAAAGTATTAATAACTAAAATTAGAAGGGGGAAAACATAACAGAGGTGAGAGTAAATTCATAAGAAAAAGATTTTAAAAAATTAGAGAAAATGTTATAAAAAAAATCAATACTGAGCATCTAAAATATATTGCAAGTTATTTTCATTTCTTATTTTAAGCATAACTGGAAAGTTTCTGAAATTAAAAGATTCTTACGTGTATTGTTCAAAAGTAAATATTTGAAAATATTAAGTTTTTTTTTTTTTTAAAAAAAAAAAAAAGAATAATGGTAACTCCTGATGCAAACGATGAAGAAAAAGATAAGGATTTTTTACAGTTTGGAGAAAACTTTTCAAAAATCAAGTTTGTTTATGGCATGTTAATGAAGACATTGAAAATTATGGTATGATGCTGGTTTAAAAAAATGGCTGCAGAAGCTAAAGAAGTGACAAGTATATCATGAAAATTGCAGAAGACCTCAAAGCCTTTGGAACAATGAGAAACTTTCTGGATTGACACTAATTTATAGAAAAAGAACAGGAAACTGTTAAAAATGTTGAAAAGTTTTTTGCATTTTAACCAAAAGAGTGTTTAAACTAAACTTTTTATACATTTCCCATAAATGCATTGTAAATATAATTATCTTTCTTATGCATTGTAAATATTTTTTCAAGGAGTACATAATTTTTTCATTTAGACTTTTTATATTTATAGTATTTTTTTTTTTTCTTCTTGAAGCCCAATACCTCTCATTATTACTTTCCATACTTTTTCAAGTAATTAATTGATATTTTATGTTGACCCGCATTTATCGTTTCAGTGTATCTATCGTTCAAACAAACGGTTCCTTGAAAAAAATTGAACGATGTACTACCATATATGAACAAATTTTTCTAATATAGATTAGCAATAAAAGTGCAATATTATAAAGGACAATTTTTTTTTGAAAAAAAGTAAAAGAAAATTCTTATCTCTTGTAAAAGAGAAGCAAATTATAGATATCATTTTGTTTTTGACAATACTTGTTTTTTAAAAAAAATGAATGTGTCTCTGAAGCATCTAGAAACAAGAAATTGTAAAAAAATATTTGCGATTAGATTGTGGTCTTAATTAAAAACAAAAGTGAATAGTATATAATAAAATGAATACACAGCAAGAGAAAAATATTTTTTTAATATCTAAAAGCAGAGCCTGAAAGACATGTAGAGCAAATGAGGTGCTTTTCAAAAACAATGATTACTTCATTAAAACACTCCACATTCATTTTTAAAAATTGGAGGAAAGAGCAATGGAAGAAAGATAAATATTAAACCTATTCAATTTATTTAGTACATATGGAAAGCAAAATCCTAAGCAATACTTGTCTGTTGACTTTTTAAAGTCTTAGATAATCCTTAGGTAGGTAGATAATCTTTAGAGTAATCCTTGTAACATACACTTTTTTTTCTGTTTTTTATAAATACTTAGTACATAACTGCAATTCTTAAATACAAGGGACATTTTTTATCACCTTTAAGTTATTTTATAAAAAATTGTCAAAAAACAAACCAAAAAAAGGAAACACCCAGGCTCCAAAATATATATTTGTGTGTGATTGTATGTAAATTATTAAACGTATCTCTATTTAAAATAAATATGAATAAAAACCCCATAATTTCTGATGATCTGCATTTTGGATATCCAAATAAAAAAATACAATTAATAAAAAAAAGAAAGAAAATCCTGAATCCTCATCAATCCCTTCCCTAATGTTTGGCACAACAGCCCAGGGTGGGCCAAGGCCTTTCTTGAAGATTCCTCCTGGACAACTTATTTTTTGACCTGAACTACTCTTTCTTAACCCCAATCACACTAAAGTTTAATTTTATAGAACTGAGTCATTACTGTGTAAACCTTCTTCCATTGCAACTAATGAAGGGCTACAATTATGAATATGTTTTAAAATAAATTTGTGAAGACATCTTTTGTTCTTATTTGATGAGAATCATTTACATATGACCGAATCTTAAATATGTATTACATTATTTTCAATTAATGTTCATTGTTTTCTACCATATAATGACAGAAAAAAAAATTACACTTAAAAAAATCAATTATTTATTTCTATTTATAATTCATTTAAAGTGATAGAAAATAAAATATGACTTCTCAAAACAGAAAAAATTTGCCAATAAAGCACCCTTGATATCAAAATAACTTTTCAAGCTCTAAAACTTCAACTTAATTTTTAATAAATATTAAATACTTACTTGAACTACCTAACTCAAATTAAGTAATGAGTATGATGATGCTGACAAGAAAGAAAGAGAAAGCAAAAAAATTGAAACTCGCATGTGAGTGTGATATGCAGTCAACGCATGTTGATATTATTCTAATAATTTCTAATCAGCATATTTAGATTAGCTTTAAAAAAATTTGTTTAACTTACCCCCATACTAGGATTCGATTTAGTAATGTATACAACAGAAGGATAAAATTGCTTTTTATGATAATATGCATTGCCTACTACACCCAGTGTCAGTAGGACACTACCAGCACTCAATAATGCTGCCCGCATTATGATCTCCAGCTTGGCTGAATTAAAGAAACCTAAAAAATAAGTAAAATAACAAATGTTTAATAAAATCAAATACTTAGTTAATAAATGCACACAAAAAGTAAGAAGAAAAATTAATCACCCGGAATGACATTTGGTCTACTGATTATATTTTCACTAACTAGGACTCAAAACTTAATAGCTTATGAAGGAGACTTCAAATATGCTAATTAATATGTACAGACCATATTTTAAATTACGAAATAAGACACAAAAACATACTTTCTATGAATAAACATTTTTTGGGCAAACTTGGATTCTTTCTTCAAAATCTTGGGGATAGCTACAATCTGGGAAATATGGTCCCAATAGTTTGGTCAAGAGAGCAATCAAAAAGTTTGAAACTCTTAATGTTAATTTTATTTTTGCATATTTCTTTGTATCTCGAGAGCTTTTCAAGCAAATTGAAAACCTTTAAGATACAATAACAAAATTCCTTTATCCAAAGATAAATCCATGCAAAAAATATATTTCTATAATCACTTATTATTTTCATAGAGCAGTTGTAAAATTGCTAAACAGTTGCATATTTCTCAGAGCAGTTGTAAAATAGGAACAACTGAAATTCTATTAATGCCTCTAAGCTGAAATTTAATACAAATTCAACACAACACATAATAAATTAATAACAAAACTTGATCAAATTAAAAAAAAAAATTATTTTTTCTGTAAAATAAAAATAAGATGTACACATCTAATGTGGACATTTTTCAATGATAATTGATTTACAAAATTAGAATATAGTTCAGTTATTGTATATAAATTAATATTTGCAAATCCAAAAAATACAGATTACTACAATATTTAAATAAGTTGTATAATAACAATTGAAATAAGTAAATACTTCATTATTGTCGAGTCTTAAATTGCTTATAAGTTGTGGTAGTTAAATTTGTTGCAAATAAATTCTATTAAATTAAAAATCAAATGATAAAACATAACATTTGATATCAATCTACGTATGCAAAAAAAATCACCGGTTAAACTGTGTAAAGTTGCTATTTCTAAGAGTATTTTAAGCCTTATCATCAATTAAAATAAATCTCGCTAAGATTTGCTAGACTAAAAATAAATGCTAATAAAAATAAAATAATTAGACTAAACATAAATACTAGTTAAAATAAAATAATCAGACTAAAAATAGTTCAATTACGATTTTATTTGCTGTTTTATAAGTAAGAATAGAGTCAATACTAGGTTTTATGACACATCCACACTAGCCCTGTGATATGGGGTTAGTGTGGACAAAAACAATGTATTTACTGAAAAAAGATTATTAAAAAGTAAAGGAATGTACCATTAAAAATGAAGAAAAACTTTCAAAAGTTGAAGAAAAAAAAATATATGCTCAAAATAATAATTAAGATTTTTTTTATTTTTTTGCAAATTTATCTTGCAATTATTTAATCTTTCTTTACTATAAAAATTGCTCACACTATAACCCCTCTCCCCTATTATATTATTCATCTCTTATTCAATAATGCATTAAAATATGGTAAGGTTTTCAAAATCACCACTCATAATACACCACATATATATGAAGATTCTACAAAAGCAATATATTCTTATTTAATATTTAAAGCTAAAATCGTATTTATGTTTAGGTTTTAAACTTTTTATAAGACAAATAATATAGATTCATATAAATGTTACTCATTAAATTAAAAATAAGCAGTCAGAAGGAAAACTGTTATTCCTGGCAGAGATTTTCAAAAAAATTCACTTTAAAATTTAAAAAAATCAAAAATCAGATTTTCAAATCATAAAAATAAAAGCTTTAATTGATTCAAAACATTTAAAGACTATATCAACATCAGAACACAAAAAATAAGAAAAAGCAGTAGAAAAGGTATTGTAGATGATACACATCAAAACATATATAGTAATAAAATATAAAGTACCACAGTAATACAATTTACATGAAATATTGACATAAAAATGAATAAATTTTAATAATATTTTTTAATAAGCAGCTACCTATCCTTCCGAATCTCTTGCAACATTCGATTAGGATCAAGATAAAATTTATTTATCAACTTCAAGAACATATAAGTATTAAATATAACCAAATAAAATTAACAAAACTGTACTTTTGACCTCAAGTAAGTATTTAAAATCAATTAGACTAAAATTAATGCATAAATATTTAATTTATCAACTAAATCATTATAGTGACCAATGTAAAATAATGTTAAACGTTCAATGATGTTATACATATAGCAGTAATTAACTTTCTAGAAGAAATCTGCAGCTATATCACTTAAAAATAGATTCAGACATAACTGTCATTACATACGTCACAAATTTTATCAGTACAGAATAAGAATACAAACTAAATAATTTGCATATGTAAGCCAGGCAAAAATTATTGTTATTTCATTTATAACGTGTACTTACAAATTTTGAGCTATTTCTCCATAGATATGGGAATGAATCTCTCGAAAAGCAAAACTATTGCACAGCAGAATTCATTGGTAAACAAGGAATCTCGCATCATAATAATTCGACGTGTAACAGTTAAATGATTTTTTTAACTGTCGTTATTTTTAGAATAAATGAGAAATCAGAATGTAAAATTGATTTTTAAAGATCTGAAAATATTTTACTACACTAATACACTTTTAAATAATAGTATAGTTTATATTAGTTGAGAAACAAATCTATTGAATTTAAAACGCATTCTATTTTGAAATGCACTGCAACTTCTACAAAACCAAAGCAGTCTGCTATTTGTTGTGGTTTCATCGTGTGCGCGGTACGGATTGTTTTGTGTTTTTTTACGAAGCATCGCTACGAAGCATTATGTAATCAGTGCTTTTTGTTATTTAAATTACAGAAGGTTAAAACTTATTTACATTGCTGAAGGTTAAAAACACTTTTATTTTAACTCCAAAATTGTTTTTAACATGTTGTATCTTAAAGAAGTTGAAATTATCTTCTATTTTTAAAATAGCCGGTGTTATTTTGTATCTCTAAGCTAGCTATCAATTTAGTTACTGTTTGTTTATTGATATTTATGTCAAACTTTTATTAACTATTAATTAATGTTTAATTTTTTAATTCGTTTTCAAATTGCTGGTGTCTTTTTATTCCACTAGATAATATATATCTCTTTTGTTTTGCAAACACCTACAGAATATTGGAAGCATCTTATTTCACATGAAATAAAATTAGAATTAATTGTAAATTAAACAAAGTGAAGAATTAAAGTTTCAAAAAGAAAGACTTACACCAGAATTTTGAAAAAATTCTTAGTTTTTAAGATATATGTAACAATTATCTATAACATACATCATAAAAATGTGCATTTATAATAAGAGTATACAATATTTAATTCAGCTGTTCACAAAATATGTTCTTTTTTAGTTAAATTACTTCTATTTAAAAAAAGCTTAAAAGGTTATTTTTTAATGCAATAAATATTTTTATATGACATATATTTTATTCACTAACTAAGTTTTAATCTCTATTAATACTTTCCTTGATCTGCATTAAATTCAAGAGCCATGCCACGTTTTAGGTTATTAAAAATTTCCATTGTAAATACATACTAAATTTAAAGTTTATGAAAATAAGTTTTTATTTACATAATAAGAGTGCTACCTGTACTATAGTAATAGTATTGAATTAGCCAATAACGATGAATAAATCTTGCGTCATCCCTGCTGCAACATAAAAGGATGCTCTACCACCTTTCCCTTTTATTTCCTTGTTTGTCCTCGTGACTGAAGGTTGACTTCAGTCTGACCTGTCAGCCTTATATATTTAAATAAATGATTTTGTGTAAAATTTATTGAATTATTTACAAGATTGTAATACAGCCTTTTAGAATCTTAGAAATGGAGGATTGTCAGCTAGTGCCTCGATATCAATATTTGTGTATTAGTAGGTGTATATTTGTTGATAAGTGATTCATTTGTACTAATTGACTTGATATAATAAAATTTTACGCAAGTTATCATTTTGATGGATATTATATTTGTATCACGTCTCATAAAAATCTACTAGCCTTGTGTTACAATTCCTAAATAATGTGACTAGGAACTCTCCAAATATTTGTATTATCTAGTGCAGTGTCCCCCCAGCGTCCGCGGATCAAATGGTACCAGGACGCCCATCTCATTGAAACTGAATTTAAATTCCTAGGTCTATGCCCCAAATTAAAAATATCTGTATTCCATTAAAATTTTATTTATTTTAAAATTAAGGGGTCATTTTTGACAACCTATCTGTGTGAAGCGGGGTTTTCTCCAGTAACAGCAACCAAAACAAAGCAGTGGACTAAACTGTAATGAGCCGCGGTAAAACGATCAAACATTGAGAAGTCCACGGTGATAAAAGGGTTGGGGAACACTGATCTAGTGAATAAAACAGCTTTGAACAGATACAATTTTGCAGACATTGAATTTTTTACTATAATAAGCTTAATTCTGCTTAAAAGAGATGTTGTAGATTATTAAACTTACTGGAATGTTCAAGAAGCTTATTTTAAATCGAGGAAATTTATATTATTCAAAATTCCGTAAAGAGGATGCTAAAAATTTTAAACAAGCAGTCAATGATACAGCCAAAAAACTTTTCTGCGTCTGGTTTCAAAATTGCAATTTAATATAAATTTCCCAATTCTTCCATTATCTTCCATAAATTTATTCTCCTTACCTTAAGAAGCTTATTTATTAATCACTTTGTTAATAGAACTCCCATTTCCAAATACGGACTAGAGCAGGGAATACTCGACAAGCATGAACTGAACAATATCCCTTTACCTTACTGTGCAATGGGACCCACATCCCTGCTTTGATTTTATTCTGATTAATCAGATTACAATTATTAATTGAAAGTAAAAAATTGTAAGTAAAAGTAATACAATTTTAAAAAATCCCAACAACTAAAAATATAAAGGAATATTTTAAAGTATAATATTTTATTGTATTATGCTTGCCATATAAATTATATTTTAAAGCTAAACTAGTTTGTATCACCAAAATGATAAAATCTCTGTTTCAAGCAGAAATGCCAAGACTGCCTCCTTTCTGACTTTCTCAATTTAGACATAGATGTGAAGAGGAAGGAAATTTTCTCCAGATCCCCATACCCACGGTACTGCTCAACAACTGACCATAAGACTTTCGATTCCACAGATTTTACAAGCACATATATAGCATGTACTCGATGAATCTGAGCTGAGTCGAGAATCGAATCCCGGCCCCTCTAAATCGGAGACTGATTCTCTGACTACTTGGCTACCACAACCCCCAACTTGAGGAAGTCTAGATTGGGACAACACCTTTCAATTTGTGGGATGATGAAAAATTATCTATACATCTTAAGTTATAATTGGCTAATTCTTTTTTTTTTTTGTATATTTATTTATGAAATGGATAATTTATTATTTTATTTTATCCTTAAGGAAAAATATCTATGCATGGTACTCGATGGTATCACAATGCACACTTCGAAAAAGCAATATTTCAAAACTAAGAACATATTTCAATTTTTACTTTATATTGAATTCATTATTTTATTTATATGATAAAAATTATGAAATACTCTGGTTTTTTTCCTCCTTTCAGATTTAATTAGCAATGAAGCCATCGGATTTTACCATTATACGGAATGGCTTAGAAATGATTGGAAAGGCATTTGTTAAACGAAATCAAGCAGAAATAAAATATGCTTGGAGAAATTCATCTCTTAGCAATCTTTCTAACTCAGTGATTAATTTTACAGAAGAGAAACTAAGCTCAGCTGCTGCTCTATCTTCAAATCCGAAAGTATGTAAACAATAATATATTTATATTAATTTAGAAATTCTAACGAATTCTTAATTTTAATAGTTATTTGTGCCAGAGCCCTCTTAATAGCATGCTGGGCCCCATAGAAATGTTTTGGACCCTTATAACAGGTCATACTGCTTAAAATAGAACTAAAGCAACTTCACATACATAAAATAAAGCATTTATATGCATGTGAAGATGTATGTTATGTATGTATGTTATGATGAAATTGTATGATGAATGAAATAAAAATACATAGTCAAATAAACAACATAATGGTTCTTACAGTTATTTATCCTTTTTGCTGGTTCAGAATTTTTATTTTTTTTACTCTACTGAATATCAATTAGCTTCTTAATTTGTGACTTTTCAGAATAATCACTAAAAAATTTAGCAAGGTAAAAACTAAAGAAAAATTAAAGAAAACTTATACTTTTTTATGTGACCGATTTTGTAAAATTACCAACATTTATTTTATGTCTTTGAAATAGTTTTTATGTATTGCTATGATTTATTTCCTTTATTTTAGGCTGTAGTGAATACTGTTAAAGAAACACTTGAGCGAGGTTCTATGATCACTGAAGGTATAAAGCAATATGCTACATATTCCTTGAAACAAAATAAGAAAACTCATGAAAGCAATACTCACAATGAATTTGAGATTGATCATCCCATCCTAAAGGAAAATGTATCAGAGATTGAGAATCAAAACATCAATAATTTTGAATCTGTTTCTCCCTATGTCCAAGCAAGTAATTTAGGAAAAGAAAATGTACAAAATTTCAACAAAACACCTGCTCCTACTATTGTACCACAAGCTGAAAATTTAAAAATGTCATCCACTCATTTGCATGAAACTACTAATCCTATGTCAACTTCTGTTTCAAAATCATTTTCTGATTCATCTTCTGCCAAAGTTTCTGAAGAATTTGTGCTACAAAATTTAGTCCAACGAAAACCAAAACTGCCCAAGTCCCGTAAACCTCCAGAGGTATATTTAAATAGTACTTTCATTATTTTAAAATTATAAGTTAGGTTTAAAATTATAACTAGTTAAACAATAAATTTGTTAACAATAACACCTTGAAACCAGCGTAAAATTGTCATACATTTTTTTGTTTTTTTAGAGGCATTAAGTATATCAGAATCAAGTACTATATCACAAATTTTTTTGTTTGAAATTTTATTTGCTATGAAGTCATTTAAAAATTCTATCCTATATATATATAGAGAGAGAGAGCTTTAAATTCAATTTTTTTGCTGGTTGTTATTCTTACCTTTTGATCACAAAGTATATAAAAAATTGTCAGATTTCATATTTGACACAATCCAAATTTTAGAGGAAAAATGCTTTTTATTTATTAAATACTATGCTAGATATCAATCCTGTTAATTTTTTATTAACTAGATGGATGTATCCATGATGATAGTGTTCTAATTAAGCTCTGAAGAAAAATAATATTGCACATTAATATTTACTAAACTGTTGTCTTTCTATATTTTTCTTTTGTGATGTACAGTGCTTAAAATTAAAAATGGAATGTTCTAAATACCCTTTGGTCTAATGATTGGATTTTCACATGCCTCAAATATGCTAATTAATTAATTCAGCAGATGTTTTAAGCTACAAAATCAAACGCAAAACAATACTTTTTCTGAATACTCATGCTTTTTTTTGTGGACGCATTTGACTTTCTGACCCTTAATATATTAAGGAGTTGCTGCAATTTAGAAAATATGGTTCTAATAGTTTGGTCAGAATTGCTGCCGAAAGTTTCGATCCCTTAATGTTAATTTTGCTTATTTTTCATATCTCTAGAACTATTAAGGTTAATCAAAAAAAAAAAAAATTTCACACAATTATGAAATTTATTTATCTAAGGTTAATTTTATTAAAAAGATATGTTGTTATATTATTAATTATTATTATTTTTTTCATTTTATTTAATAATGATCAAAAAATCTTGTCTTGTAAGGTATACAATACTCTATATAATTTTAAATAATATATTTGATATTTATCTGGAGACTCTGTATTCCATACATTTTAATGTTTCATGATCTCAATATTACGATAATATATTGGTATATTCCTTACCTCTAATTGTCATATTGTGAAATAGAATGGTAATTAGCTTCCTGGCTCATACTATTTATGAAGAAATTTCCATTATCCATAGATGTAATATTTGAAACTATTGGAAAGTCCAAAGGCTTTGCCTTACCTCATAGTATCAAAGTAGCTGTATGTCTTAGAACTACTTTATGCATGCATATTACATTGCGTTCTAATGAAACATAGGATCATGAAATATAGATAATTAAAAAGTTGAAATTTAGCTTAAAATATTTAAATAATAATCACTTATAAGATAAATTACTTCAGTTTACTATAAAACAATATTTAAAATATATTTTATGTGTAATATATTACTAATTCAACAGTGTTCCTTTCTAGTTAAATGAACGGGCTCGAGAAAAAGAAGTTCCTGCTTCCCAAGTTAGACGTGCTATGGTCTTTGGAGGTATCTGAAAAAAATTTTTAAGTATTTCTTTTTAAATTTTTTAAGCAAAATTTTAAATTGCAAAACTCAAGATTTTGTTTACTGAAAATAAAGCCTCTGCAGTTTCGATTGCAACAGCATAATTGTGTCAATGTAGTATGCACTGTGCACAGTCCATCTTTACTTCCCAGATAAGTTGGTACCCATTGATCTGAAGCTTGGTGGACTACAGGGAATCAAAACCCATTTCTTCCAATGACAGTTAAGTGCCTTAACCACTGAGCCATTAAGGCTGGATATCTAGTTTTGTCAAAATAGTAAAACACAAGATATAAGTTTTATTACAGTTTCAAAACATAAATGAATATATAGATATAGGTTTTAACAGTCTTGATTTTTGTTTGAAGGTAAGATCTAAATAGTGAAATAATTTTTTCTAAAATTCATCGTTTTTATATAACAGTTGTTTATTCTTTTGTTCTATTTTTGCATTGTGTTATTTTATGGTTTGCATAAAAGGGCAAACGCTGACTGGAAGTAGCACACTGCAAATGGTGAAACTATTGTTAATACTTTTTTTCTGTAGTTTGTAGTTTATTAAGTTGTGTGATACAAAAAAACAATAGCTTTTGGAGATTCCTAGCAACTACTTTTATTGTTAGCTTGGTAAAAGAACAAACTTTATAAACTAATTATTTGAATATGATTGGTACAAATTTTTGCAACTGCAATCAGCATAATGAGAATGCCCCTGTGACCGAGTGTTTATTGGAATTATGTCTTACTAAAATTTAAACTAGCCATTGCTAATGATAGCTAATTTATTACTTAGTATATACTTCCAAATGCAAATGTACTTTCATGAATCATTGATGTTATTTCAATCGAACGGAACATATTTTCTCTGTAATTTTTAATGTACTTAGTTTCTTAGACGAAATTAACGAGCATTAAACTCTTACAAAATTGCAAATGTTTGCAAAAATAGTTTCCAAGCAATTATTAAATTAAATATTCACTGTCGAGAAAGACATGAAACTTTAAAGGTAAAAAAGACAAATTCGTAAAAAGTGGTTTAGGCTTAAAAATTGCCTCATGTAAACATGAATAAATATTTCTTAATAATTCCTCATGTTTAAATGGGTCAATTTTTTTCATTCCAAACCATTTTGAACATGGGTGTAAATTAAGTGTCCCAGCCAAGTTTGTTTCGTAATATATTTAGTGAAGTAGTGACTAAATTTGGAACGTTTGTAGTCACTACATTTAAAGAAAAGAAGTAGTTGTAGGTGTAGTTACATACATTAATAATAAAATAGTTATAGTTAGCTGCAAAAATAATGTATTTTTTCTGACCACTGGGTGTAAATCTTTTATATTAAAAATTAAATTTATTGAAGTTATATATTAAATATATTAAAGTTATATAAAGTATATTAAAGTTATATAAAAAAGATTTTGTACAGTGTAGAAATTTGATACCTACATCAAACATTAGACATATTTTTATCCCAGGCCTTGACTAAAAATGCACAGAAATAGCATTATATTTTAATCATCTTATAATTTACACAAATTCATTATTCTAACGTTATTCATCAAAGTACTGTTCTTAATTGTTAAGAAAGCAAGTCCTCTGCATTTTAACATCAGTTTTGTTTTTTATAAACTCTCAATTTATTTAAACTTTTCATTCATAATTCCTGAAATCCCTTAAAAGCTGGACAGATGTGATCTAAAAAAAGGTAATCTCCTATTCTTCATAATCATCTCTTTTCATGCCCAGGGGTGCATTTTATACCTGCAAACTTGCTCAGCCCTGTCAGCTGCAGCCAGTCTTGCTTCCTGTCAGCTGGTCCACCCAATCTCATTCTTCTCTCTTTCCATCATCCTGCACCTCATTAGTTTTTGACCTCCCCTCCGTCGTTTTTCCCTCTGGTGCCTAGTTAAGAGTGACTATAGCAATTCTATCTTTATCCGTATTTAATATATGGTCATTAAACTCTCGTATTGGTACATATAAACTTGGAGTGTGCGAGCCTGGGGATGCATTTTTTTCTCCTTTTGCTGTTCCTGACAAGGTTAAGATGAATGATTAATGCAAAAATAATTACTTTTTATTATTTAACTACTGAAATATTAAAAATTATGACTAGAAAAAGTCAAACTATACAGTTTTTAAATTTTTTTCAATGATATAGAAAAATATTTTAATTAATCTAATAATGTAAAGCCTTTGGAAAGTGCAACCAAATAAAAAATTAGATTTTTTTTTNAACTGTTCATAAAAAGTTTTTGTTTTTCAATAATATCATTGATTCAATGTGAATTTTTTGAGTGCTTGAAAATTTTTGTAAAGTGCTTGAAAAGTTTTTAAAAAGTGCTTATTTTTGATTCAAAGATTTGGCTACGCACCCTGTTAATACTGATTTATTGATTATTTGCTTATTCCCCTGTACGAAGAACTGATAATCAGCTAGTATATTACATTATTTAAGCACTTATAGCAGAATATTTTATTTAAAACAAAAAAGTTTATGACTAACAATTGGAAAAGGTTTTTGAAAAATGTTCTGCTCATAGTCCTTGTTAAAAAAATAAATTATTTTATACCTGGAATTCTACATTAGTAAATCTAAAATTTTCCTTTTTATAATGCTTATATAAAATTTCTCCATAATTTAGCATTATGAAATGTAAAGCACAAAAAAAGTAAAATTTCAAACTTATTTGTTTAACTTATTATATATAATTCTGCTACTGTTTCATTCATTATTATATCTGTTATAACGTTTTTCATCTTTTATGACAATCAATCTAATAGTAAAGATACAATATGAATGAAGCACAAATGAATTAATATTGTTTAGTTTTTTAATAATGTATACCATTTAGTATACCATATATTAATTTGAATCAGTGTAAGTCATAAGAAAACTTCAGGAAAGAAAATTTTATTTAAAACTGATTAAAATTGAAATTTCATGTGACAGAATTTGATCCGTGTGCAATGTAGTAAAGTTTTTCTTTTAGTGGAAGTGAGACACATTTCTATAGGAAATTATTAAAAAATTTTCAGTGTCTTTGACTATCTGGTACAGACAAAAATTTAATATAAATTAATTAATCTGAATTAATTAGTTGTAATGAATTAATATCATTTAATAGTACAATTTTAATCATGATTGAAAACCATTGTTTATAATTATTTATGCTTATTTATTTCATTTTGAAATATAACTAATGCTTGAAATACATTTATATCATTATTTATAGGTTTATTTGGTAGAATGGCCTTAGGTGCTGCAGTAGAAAAAACGAAAAAGACATTTGGATTAACAAAAGAACAAGATGCTGGTCCAAGTTCTCTTCTTTCGAAAAATTCTTTTCTTACTGAAGCTAATGCTAATTTAATTGTTGATGCTTTATGTAAAGCTAGAGGAGCAGCATTAAAACTTGGTCAGATGCTCAGCATTCAAGGTGAATAAAGAATTAATATGTAATTAAAGTTTTTTTAAAAAGTCAATGTGTTTTTTGTAAAATAATCAAAGAATAATTTAATTATTTTCAGCTAATAAAAGTAAATTTGCGTAATTGTAAATAAGTAAAGCATTTTTTTCCTTTTGTTTCAAGAAAATAATATTTTAACGAAACAATATCAAATTGTAGTAATTCTGTGACTCGGAAATATGTATTTTTGAATTAATTAATTGCTATCTTTGATAAAAATAAATTTATCCATAGACAAAAATAAATTATTTATGTTTCTTTTACATTCTTGCATGCAGCATTTTGTTATCACCTTTAAGATTTTACCAATGCTTTTAATTTCATTGCTAAGACCATTGCCATATTTTTAACAAATTTTTATTTTTATTTTCAATATAAAATAATTTTTTTTATTCTAGTTTTTCATCTAACAATTTCTAGAATGATTAAATTTTAAAAACTAAATTATAATAATTAAATTATAATTATTGTTTACTTTACCTAGATAACTCTATGATAAACCCTCAATTAGCAGCTGTATTTGAAAGAGTTCGACAATCAGCCGATTATATGCCTTCATGGCAAATGGAAGTAAGAAAAATTTAATTGTATTTTAGTGATAGTATGTAAGAATTGTGTTTTTGGTAGAAGGCAATTTAGAGAATAATTACAAGGGACATATTCAATATGTTATAATTAGATAAGTGACATTAATCTAAGTTTTTTATGAGAATTTTAGATAAAGAGGAATAAAAATCAATTATAATACAACAAAATGTTACAAGTTATAACATTAGCAAAAGGACCCTAAAAATGATCAAGGATAGGTGGCGTATTATTTTTTACCTTTTATTTAAATGTTTCATCAAATATATTATAGGCTTTAATTTTTTAAAATTAATGCACCACAATTCGAATGAAATTAAAGAAAAATATTACAAGTAAAGAAACTTTTAAAATTGCGATAACCAAACAGAGCTAGATAAACTGTACTACAAAGCTTCTTCGAACAGAAATAATTTTTTTTCTAATGCACAGCTGGGTTGACATTCGTCTATTCAGACGTATTCGGGCAGATTTGTTGGCCACTTTTTCAGGGGCACCCAGAGCCGGATTATACCTTTCGTAGGCCCTAGGCATAGCCAATTTTCGTAGGCCCTAGGCAATTAAAGATAAACTTGTGAATACTTTTCCTAGCGTTCACATTGCATTAAGAATATATTTGTCGATTCTTGGATCAAATGCAGAAGGAGAAAGATCTTTCTCCAGATTAAAATTGATAAAAAGTTATTTGCGTTCAACAATGAATCAAGATCGTTTGGCATCGCTCGCACTTATGTCTATTGAATACGACATTTTGCGTAGTTTGGAATTTGACAGCATAATACAAGATTTCGTTGAATCTAAAAATCGCAAAAAAGTAATATATTAGATCATAAGATTCTGCAAAATAATTTGTTACTGAAAAATACTATATTTTTATTTGTATCTTCATAATTTTGTGCAAAATACACTTGTTGTTTTTAAAGCTAAATTATTCTTGTCAACAAATTTTTTTCCCCGAAGTTTTTCGTAGGCCCCTGAATTTCGTAGGCCCTAGGCACGTGCCTAGTGTGCCTATAGGTTAATCCGGCCCTGGGGGCACCATATAGGGTGGGCCAACTTTGCTCCCATAGTAAGGACAGATAGTACAGAGAACGAGGAAACCTCCATACCTTATCCGAATGTTATATGGATGTGAAATATCTTCTGAAGTTTGCTTGTTTACATGATCTCTATAGCGTGTAAAGCAATGACGGCATTAATTAACATTACCTTTTTAAAAAAAATATTTTTGTTTTCAGAAGTAACATTATCATTGCATCACTGTGAATTATAATTTAAAAAGGTAAAAGTAATGTTTATTATAATGACTGCAGCACTGTAGCTATTTTTTATTATAATGTTCATTTACAACTAATATTTATACAACACCAACTAATGTCGCAATGGTAACTTTCTAGAGAGTATTATATAGAGAGTTTGGTGCAGATTGGAGAGATAAGTTTGCAGAATTTCAATCAAAACCTTTTGCTGCTGCATCTATTGGACAAGTTCATGGTGCAAAACTTTTAGATGGTTCTGATGTTGCTTTAAAAATACAAGTAATATAACAGTCCTCAAACTTTTTGAGCTTTTTTTTTATTGTTTTACTGATGGATTTTATTTTGTCATAAAAGTCTGTTAATAAGTGACATTTTGTGTTTTAAAATTCTTTAGTTGGGCAATTCCATATGTGACGAAATGACATTTTGACTTGAAAAATAACAATTATTTGAAGTTTCCATGCATCTAATTTCAAGTAAACATTGTTTTTTTTTCATGCATATCATTATTTTTGGCATAATGTGATTCATAAACTAAAAAAAAAAGATTTTCTATTTTTTTTTTTTTTTTTTGAGACNGGCAACCAAGCTTTTGGCATGCTGCTTAGAACTGGTAGTTTCTGTGAATTTTGCAGCTATTATTTTTCTGAACTATTTTTTACTTTTAGTATAATGTGTAAGCAATGTAAAATGTGAATTTGGAAAATTAACCTCAGGTTGGCTAACAGTTATTAGCATCTATTTGCTGTGACGGAATGACCGTGACAGAATGACAAAAAGTTTAGTGGAAGAAAGACTTCATTTAAAAAATGTTTTATTAATATTTAAATGATAAACAGAATGTAACAGATAAACAGGTTTAATATGTATATAACCGATAAACAGGATTAGTAAAAATTTGAAAATTAGGTTGTCTATTTAAAAAAAATACTAAAACATGTGACGGAATGACACAAAAAAAGTTGCTTTTATTTTATATATTAAACTTAAAATGACTTAAAGACTATGTTTTAAATGTTTAAATTTTGTACTGTATGCATAATTTTATCAAAATATTGCAAAAGAAAGATACATTTCTTTTTTTTATAAGTGTTTTTCAAGAAAACAATTTCACCACAAATATGAACGATTCACTTGTCAGCCATGTGATTACTTTAGAATGCTGCTAGATTCAAAAAACGTAAAATTATCAAAAATGAAACATGAATTAGTAGACTTTGCCTATTTTTGAACATATTTTTAAAATCAAAATATGTGATTCATAAAAAAAAATTTCACTAAAAAGTTGACACTTTCATGGAATTGCCCAGTTGTGTATGCTCCGAAAAAATTAGAAAGTTACATTTTACTACCTTAAGTATTTTTTTAATTGTAGATCTTAATTTTTTTTTAAATTATTTGTGTAGTGCTATGCAAAGTCTTAAACATCTGGCTTAAATTGTCTGTAATTGTGTACAATTTTGTTTTATTTTGTTTTAAAATGAGAGTCATTTTGAAATATTGTTTTTACATAGTTTAATAGTTACTATTGCATAAAACATTATCTCTAAAACTTTTTGTAGTAAAAAAAAGGAAGCTAGGAAATTTTTTTCTTAAAAATTTAATATAAAAAGAAATTTTCTACAATTTTTGAAATGTCCTTTTAGTTAAGCGAATGTTGTTAAGACAAATGATCTCAATAAATGTTGGAAAAGCAAATTGTATGTAATCTCCAAATGGCCCAGACATAAAATGGTGTTTGAGTCAAGGCTTGCCACTGACCATGACTGTCTTCCAAAACATTTGCACTGTGTTTGCTTTAGTTTCAAATCCTATCTACAGTCTCTGTAATTAGAGTGGATCATGTATAATGACCACCTCATCTTCTGATGAGTTTAAACCAAAGTACTCTTGTGAAATCTGGGAGTTTAAATACCACTATGTTCAAATTTGTCATTGAAAATAAAAAAAAGTTTAAAGAGTCTGCTATTTTAATTCTGTTTGTATATACTGCAATTATTACAGAATGCTTATTAAAGAAACTATTTCTCAGTTGAACATAGCATATCTTCTACAGTGTGTGTAAAATAAAAGAAACTTTACATCTTAATAATTTTTTATCTTGGATTAGATTATCAAGTACTAAAATGCAATTTGAAGGGTCGAAGAGTAACCTTAAATAAAAATAAACATATCAGTTTTTTTTATTATTATTGTTTTTGGGTTTTTGATTTCCAAAATATATAATCTCAAACCAAAATTCGATAGTCTCAACCTGAAGAATATGAACCTAATAATAAGGTCAGAAAAGTTGTCGAAAAATTAGACCCTTTAATGTCAATATCGCTTTTTACATATTTTTCCTTTTTGCGAGAACTTTTTAGCAAATTGAAAACTTTTTGCACATACTTATGAAATTTGTTTGTACAAAGAAGATATCAAATGGAAAATAATTTTTACAAATTATTTGTTATTATTTATAATAATCAAGAAAGTTTTAAATTGTTAAGCATATGTATTTTTACATAATTTCTAACCATAAAATTCTAAATGATAAAAAGGAAAATTTGAACAAAATCTGTCAAAGAGTCCTTCAGAAATGAAAATTTAAAAGTACGGCTTTTTTAAATTATGTGACTCAGAAATTTTGAACTAATTTCATTCACATTTTGCTTGTTGTCCTTTAAAATTATGTGAAAATTTGCATACCTTACAATTTTAGAAATTTATTGATAATATTAAAAAAATAATAATAAATATTTATTAAAAATTGTTTGTTTAATAGAGTGACAAAACTGTGGATAAACCAGTTTAATAATTTTTGCAGAAAAGCTTTTTCTTGCTCAAAGAAATAAGATAGAGTACACAAGAAGTGAGCAGTACAGTACACATTAAAAGGCTTAAAGTTTAGACCACTCTCCTGCTTAAACTATTGTGCCTATATTTTCAAGAATTACGGTACCCTCACCCCACCCCATATTTTGAGAGCCAAAAATCCAAAATATGTCAAAATAAATAGATAAAAACATGTTTATTAAGAGAAAGTGCGTTTTTGTGTTTGATTTCATGCCTTAAAATATTATCTGTACTAATTAAATAAGCTGAATTAAAGGACATAAGCTGAATTCAAACCGTTTTGATAAGATATTTATCTGTGAGAAAATCTAAAGTTATTAAAGTGTTCTAAAAGTTATTAAAGTGTTCTATTTTATGTTTGACTTGTACACTCTTTTTCAAAATTCGTTAAAGTATTTTGGCATATTTTGAATAGTTAAAATTTCATTTTTACTTCCTGCTACATTTTTGACACTGATAATTTTTTTTTTAAATATTAAAAATATTCTGTGAAATTTATTTGAGAAATTTGCGATGATTTATTATTCTTTCACTTCTAATCTAACATGCAATCTATCACAATGTAATGCTGCCTTTTTATCCTACATTAAAATTCTATTAACTTATATTAATTTGCTTTGTAAGATTTTCTATTACCATTGCCTTTTAAATTGTTTAAAATGTTAAATGTCATTTATAAATTGTATTTAAAATATATGGTTTAACATTCATTCCCTTTTACTCTGAAATTTTTTTATCCTAGTTTGTATGATATATCATACTTTTCACTATCTAACTAGTTATCTAAATTTGTATAAAAAGTTAGTTGCTGTATTTCTACTTTAAATAATCTAGAAAAAAACAATTTGTTATCTAAGAAAAGAATAAGGTTCTATCCTGGGATCGGCAGCTAAAATTGAGATAAACACTTTAAAGATTTATTATGTACAGTAAGTAATGCTAAATGAAAGATATTTGTTTTGTTCTTCAGGGTTCTGAATTTATTTATAAACTTATAGTCAAATAATTTAGTTATTTTTAAAATTGCATTTGACTGTGTGGCATTACTACTGAATTTACTATACTTGTAGTAAACCTAACCTTTAAGCATTGTTTATACTGCAAGATGTCATATGAAGTCGCCTGTTGTGCAGCCAAAAGGATGTTTTGGAAGTATACCCCCTCACACACACACCTGTATTAATTAAATCAGTTTTCAATCAATCAGGAGAAAGATTTAATTTATAGAGAGCTATTTTGTGGTAAAAGTAAACAATAAAGCATGAAAATAAAAGAAACCCAATCGTTTTCTTAAATGAATCTTACAATATTAAGAAAAAAAAAGAATTGTAAATATTTTAAGAGGTTTTTATTTTACTCTTAATCTATCAAACCCAAGTGACTGTAGTAAATCTTCAATAACAGAATGTATGATATTTATTGAAAAGCGTACGATTTTTTTAATTATCCGAAAATACAAAGACTTAAGAAAAGTAGAATTTCAGAATATTTTGAATTAGTAGACTTAAGAAAAGTAATGATTTGCAGATTATTTTTTTGAATAAAACTTAACTTTTATAATTTAAAACTTTATTATAAGCTATCTTTTGCCTGTTTGAAATTTGTCTTTTGCCTGCCTTTTCAGTATCAATAATAAATACTACTGAATCATCCACACTTTTATTCTTTTTATATTTTATGATTATGCTATGGGCAATAAATGTAACATATGTTTCTTCATAAAAATTTACTGAATAACCTTTAAAAAGTTTAGTTTCCATTATTATATACATATTATTTATTAAAAAAAACTATGTGTCATAAAAATTTTTCTTTTATACATTTGAAAAGTTTTTCTTCGTGTATAAAATATTTTGTTTTTTACAGTATCCAGGTGTTGCAGAAGGTATTGAAAGTGACATTAGGAGCTTAATGGGCATTGTTAAATTAACAAATATGCTTCCCAAAGGTGAGTTGTATTTGTTTGTTTATGAGAATGTTTTTTTTAGCTTAAAAATTTTAACTAGTTTTTGTTTTTGTTACAGCCTTAGAAATAGTTTTTTTTTAAACATTTATTTATAAGAAAATCTGAGTTCTATTGTGAAATATTGACAATTCATTGTTAGTTTAGACATTTATTTTAAGAAAAATGTATCGAGCCCCATTTTTATTCAGGTTAAAAGCTATTTTTCCCTATAATTTCTCTGTACATTTCTGTTAAAGCTCTAGCAAAAATGAACGAATTGTATATTGTTGGAGAGTTCTTAAATTAGTACATAGCTTGAAATGCATTTCATGAAAATGGACACCTCAAATTACATGTTTAGAAAAATGGAAATAGCAATAAACTCTGTTTTTCAACCTTATTTTAAAATTAATTTTTTTCCTATTTTAAAGAATAAATTTATAAATCCAAATAAATATCATTTTCATAAATCGCTTGGTACATTTTATTTAATTAGTCTTTTTTTTAAAGATTTTAAAAGTCAACAGTTGTTTTTACAAAGTTGCCATACTGGGTGTTAAAATTTATAAAACTGTTCGTAAATTTATGTTATTGAAAATCAGAGTTTAAAAAATTACTTTGTCTTTTAGAATTCTGTTTACAAAGGCATTGCCTGAAAAGTTTCATTTGTAATATACCTAAGCACCCTGATTTCTAGGTCTGGGACTTTGCCTCATAATGATTGTAATGCTTAGTGTTTAAATAAGTGGGAAACAGTAAACATACAGTTTCCCATTTATTGTTAAACGTAGTTTGATTACTGACATGGTGCATTTTTGCTATGTCCATTTTTGTAAACGTGCATTTTAAGCTGTGCCCATTTTTGTAAGCACGAATTATGAGATTTGCCCATTCTCGTAAACATGCATTTTGAGCTTTGTCCATTTTTGTAAACACGCAACTATGTCCATTTATGTAAGCATGCATTTTGAGCTTTATTCATTTCCGTAAATATGTATTTGTCCATTTTTGTCAACACGCATTTTGAGTTATGTTCAGGTTTAAAAACTCCTAATTGCATGCTAGAATATATTAGAACATGCACTAACTTATTTTTTGCCTTCAGATTTTCAGAAAAAAATTTTTTTTTACTAAATTTCATATTGTACAATGCACAAAAAAGGTATCACCATGAGCGATATTTGTTTTAATGATAGATTTTTCTCAAACTAAGTGCCAATTGAACCTCAGACATGCTTGTAATTAGTGCATATGATATTAAAAGTTATAAAATCAGACACAAAAATACCTTTTCTCTGAATCCCTTTCTCAAAAATACCTTTCTACCTATTCTCTGAATAAGTATACCTTTTTTTACTAGAGATTTGGACTTTCGACCATCAAAATCTGGGGGGGGGGGGATAGATATCATAATCTTGAAAAAATTATCCTAATTATTTTGTCTTTGGAAGTTTTTAATAGAATTTAAAAAATTTTTACATGCAATTACGAAATTTGTTTATCTAAAGATAATTCAATGTAAAAAATAATTTTTAATTACTTCATTTAATAATGTTCGAAAAATTTTATATTAAAAGGTATACAAATTTTTACACCATTTGAAACTATGAGATTTTTAAATGACCGAATAAAAAATTTGAACAAAATCAGTGGTATAGTTCTTGAGAAAAGAATGTTTAAAAATTGGGCTTTTTTGAAATTTTATTAGAACTATTCATTAAATTTTGATTAAATTTGGAATTTTATTATTTGAAATTATAAAGCGTAAAATTCATTGACGTTACATTTCAAAATTTTTTCTGCCACTATTAAATAAAATTATTTTTGATATAGATAAATATACATGCAAAATATTTTGATTCCCTTAAAAAATTCCTTAGTTGTCACAAAAACTGTATGTTTATGGAGAGTAGATGCGTCTTTCTGTTTTATTTTGTAACTTAAAGTATGGTTTGCACTAATTAATTTGCCTATTTGAAGCCATCGCTTTCAACCATTAATAATGGAGCATAGCATGTGGAGATCCTCTAATTAGGACAAAAGTTGTTAAGGTTGATGTCTTTTTTAATTTTCTTGCTCTGTAATTTCTTGCTCTTTTCATTTGTAAGTAATAATCCTAATATCTGTTTTTAAAGGAATTAGTGATAAGTTGTAAGAGTGTTTTTTTAAGAATTTAAGGTGTATGGTTTCATGCTTGACCTTAGAATTACTAACCAAGCAATAAAGAATTTAATTGGATTTGAGAAAGATATGTTAGTGTTAATTTTAACAAAAATTTTACGATTCACAACTAAAGGATTTTTTTTTCCTTTATACTTTTCATTTATGACTAAAAATTAAAAATTAAAGTTAAATTAAAGTTTTTTACATTTTATTATTTCCATAACTTTTTAGTCATAGTAATTATTTATCTTAGTAAAATTATTGCTGTTCTTTTAGGGTTTCTTGTATCCTTTATTCTGTTTAATTTTTTAAAGAAATATAACTTATTTGAAGGATTTTACATTATTTAATATTAACCCTATGTTTACCACTGGTACAACAGATAGGCGAGAATAACAGCTGTTGTTATGTTAAGTGTTATGACTAAAAAGTTAATACAAATTTCCTAATTGGGACACCATTTATAGGTACTTACTATTTAATAAGCTTATTAGAATTAATAAATGCATTATTTTGTCATTTTTCTTTAACTACTTAGCTAATTAAATATTTTAATTTTAGGTGTGTACTTAGATAATGTAATGGCTGTTGCCAAAAGGGAACTTAGAAAAGAAGTAGATTATTTAAATGAAGCCAAAGCTGGAACGAAATTCAAGTGAATAGTTATATTGTATTGCTTTATTTTCTTATTATTTAACAATCAATCATTTTGTTTAAGTGATTCAGATTCTTTTAAAACATATATGCATTGTTTATTGTAATGTCCACTCTTAATTTTCATTTCTAGAATCTTTGTCAAAACGGGATTAGAGAAAGTATTTAAGTAGGGGTTAAAAATTAATATTTATGCAAGGTAAGTGAAAAGAATCTTAAACACTCAGGAATTATCACTAAGAAAGGCCGGACTGACAACATCAAAATTATGTAGTTTGATTGCAGGAAACTAGGGGATGTTTCTAATAGTTGCCTTTTAATTCTTACACTAGTCAAACAGGTTTTAATGTTTTTATTCTAATCTTTTTTAGTAGTGATTTGTCAGATTTTTTTTTTCCTTACTTTGAGACTCCTAATTAGTAGACAATTTTTACTTGAATTTTGTCAAGGAATTTAAAAACATGTATTAAAGTTTACCATTAGGGAAAACACTCAATACATAATTTATGTATTAAAATTAAAAATAAGAAAAAAATTTTGGTTCAATATTTTTAGATTGATTTATCAAATCAGTTGAAAATTTATCTGTTGTAACACAATTTGCAATGAAGATTGTTGAAATAAAATGTTTGTGTTTAATTCAAGCAGTTAATTTTTAAACTACTCAGTCCTACACAAGAAATTGAAAAGTCTGATTTTAATAACTTATGTTGAGAAATATATTATCAGCAATACTTAAAACATATCATTATTTTAGGGAACTTCTGAAGGATTACCCTGAATATTATGTTCCTCATGTTTATGATAATTTCTGCACAAGTAACGTTCTCACAACAGAGTTAGTGTATGGTAATCCTATTGATCAAATACAAAATAATGACCAAGATTTGAGAAATAAAGTAATTGCATTGATTTATTTTTTCCACTTTTTTAAGTTTTAAGAAACGATAATATGGTTTGCTTTATATTCGTTTTATGATTTTAGGTTTGTGAAAGGCTTTTGAGGCTATGTCTTAAGGAAATATTCATCTTTGAATTCATGCAGACAGATCCTAACTGGTCCAATTTTTTGTATAATGATGACACAGATCAGGTAATTACTTTTTAAAAAAAAAAAATATGCATGCTATAAGTGACTGTTAGCCCATGAGTGATATATTTTGAAGCAAAAACTTTTGGGTCCATAGCCGGATGCACTAACCACCTTAGAAAAGTGTGTACACTCCAGAATAGGGGGGATTGAAAAGTTTTATTTAGTTGTCAGTGCCCACTCCCTATCCAGTAATTATATATGTTACGGCCAAAACCCGAATTCGGCCACTTTGCAAATTGGCCGGCCAAATCGCGAAATGGCTAAGAACGCAGTAAATTGGCAGGCCAATGTCCGATCTTTTCTTGATTTTGGGAATTGGCCAGTCAGATCGCGAAGTGGCATGGGAGGATCAGCCAAAGTTGAAAGAAAAAATCATTGGCAGGTATTATTGGCTCTGTATAACCATAACTTCATTCTTTAAAAATTAAATTAAATTAAATTTTAATTTAAAAACTTGTGTATTTTTTTATATTTTTAAATTAAAAAAGAAAACAAAAGAGGCAATATTAGCAAATTAACTTTTTAATAAAAACGAATATTAAAAAATTGTGGTCCCACCCTACCACCACATATGCTAAAAAACATTTTTTTTCTGTAAAGTAAAAGTTATTAGAAATACAAAAGATATTAAAAAAGTAGTAAAATGGTCAACATAAAAAATTTACCTCTTTTCCTTTAATTAAAAAATGAATTATAAATCATTCCGGCATTCTTGAATGAGCACATCGCGTTTTGGCCGGAACTTTGTGGTCACTTCGCGAAATGGCCGGCCAAAGTAGAATATTCACTGATCGTTTCAATTACATCGCACTTTGGCCGAGAGGTATGGCCAAAGTGCAAAATGGTCGGGCTTTGGCCGTAACATATACATATAGAAGCATTACTTAGAAAAGTGTGTACACTCCAGAATAGGGTGGATTGAAAAGCTTTATTTAGTTGTCAGTGCACACTCCCTATGCAGCAATTACATACATATGGAAGCATTACATAGGGAAAGTCTGACTCATCAGCTATGAGCATTACATATGGTTGAGGAGGGGCATGGTCCTAAATGATTTTACCTTCAAATGCAGTTCAGGCCTTGGTGCTAATCGGGGGAGGGGGGGTCAGGTGAATTGTTTGGCGATATTGAAATTTGTTTCTTGAGTAAGAAACAAACTGTGGTGTTTGGCATAAAATGCTGCCATTTGTTAATGAGTGTCGACTCACATATTTATTGTCAGAGATCAGGAATGTGAAGAAGTGGGTAAGTGATGTTTTTTCTCCGATGTTTAGAATTTTTTTTCTCCAAAAATCACACTCAACATTATTTATATAGATCTAAAACATATACCTTTCAGGCAGAATGAAAATATACAAGTTTATCATTTTAAGTGTTCATTATCTTTCTAAATGTTCTAACTTCTAACATTTGTATGCAAAAATATTAAGTCCATTTTTAAAAGAATGGAACAATATATTATAACTCAGATTTAGATTTTTCTTTAAAATATCTGAGAAAAAATCCAGAATTTTGTCCATTATTATTTTTTTAAATTGCTAGCTACTATGATGATAAAATATTTTTATCTAACTGCTACTAATATTTCATATCTGTTTTTGAAAAATATATATATATTTAATATTTTTCTTAAATTGTTCTTTGAATAAAACTTAATGTTCTTAGAAATCTCTTGTATTTGACATTTATAGCAATATATTCCTAAGTTCCACTTAAAGTCATAGGAATGCTTCTAACACAAGACATTTAAATGCTTTTAAAGCAAAACATACAAATGTTTGCTTTAAGGGATTTACCTTCTTCAAATTTCATGATCCTGAAGCATTTCAGCAATTTTGTTTCCTATTTATATTTGAAATCACACTTATTTATAAATAGGTTTGACTTTATTACATTACATTTTGTACACAGGTATAGTTTCTTCTAGTTCTTTTCCGTTAAATTCTATGTTTAATCATAAAAGCATTTTTTGTTTTGTTTTTTTAAAAATTAACTGTTTACTACCTACAGTAACCAGATCAATACATACTAATAACTCATAAATTCTATAAACTGTATAGTTTCTTTAATATTGCAATTTTTATATATTATAAACAAAACAAACTTGTATTTCCTCTAAAAAATTATATTGTAATAAGTTTTCTATAAAAATTCGAATGATTCAGTTTTTTAGTAAATAACAAAAATTATAAAAGGTTCCTTTTTTTAACAGATAATTCTATTAGATTTTGGAGCTAGCAATAGTTATTCATCTCAATTTGTGGACACTTACATGAAAGTCATCAAAGCTGCTGCTGATCAAGACAGGGGTAGAGTATTGCAATTTTCTCAAGAATTAGGATTTCTAACTGGATATGAAACAAAGGTAATTTTTTGTTATGTATTTTTTACTAATTCCATTAAGTAAATTAGAGCCACCTCTATATTGCAAAATGTTATTTTTAACCTTTATATGGTTATTCTCTAAATTGAAGAGTAAAACATTAGTGTGAATAACGTCAGAAAACTTAAGTCAAAAATCTGACATTTTTACAAATTTTTGCTGTTGAAGTAACACAAATTATCACTCAAAATTTTTATCATCTAATTAGAGAAATAGCTAGTTTATCCTCATTTTAATAATAAAAAAGTCAATCATCTGTTAAAAAACAAAAGTAAGATTGGTTTTGCAGATTTTATCTTTTTCAAATTATGGACTTTATAAAATATTTTTTTAATTTTTTGTATTTACATAGCACATCTTGTTGCAACATAGCTATGAACTTAAAATGTTTTCAGGAAACTTTATTCTATTTTTAGAGAAGTAACAGTTTTTTTTTTTTTTTTTTTCCATTACANTATTTAAAAATGTCCAGGTATATGAGAACATGACCTTCAGATGTATTACAAAGATGCTTTCTATCTCTTACAATTCATATTTTTTAAAACTTTGAAGATGCTTATTTCCCATTGAGTGTTAAGTATTTCGACACTTAATGAAATAGGGTGCTTCAGGTTGTATGGCGCTTCTTTATTGTATAGCAATAATCCTATGTTTGTTTCTGCAACATTATATTTGCTTTTTCATGTTTTAACTATATGATTCAGTATACTTTCGATATCTCGAACTTCGATACCTTGTTACGTCAAAAAAATATTTTTTATCTTGGCATGTAAATTTGAATTCCTATGTCAAAGGGTTTCTTCTCAAAACCTTTTGAATTTTTTCAGAAAAATCACAGTGTAAGTTTATTGTAAACCAATTTATTTTCTATTTAATGCGCAATTATTTTTGAGTTACTTTTAAACATAAAATTATCATTTTTGTATTTAACTTACTGTCAACTATCATTGCATACATATTTAATAGTAGTTATTCTTATGTTTCTTGACTCTACTTTTTAGAATATATTTCTATACTTTTTAAAACATATTTAGTTCTGAACTTGTTACCTCCAAAAATCGCTATCTCGAATTTTTTTTAGCCTCCCTTCAATATTGAGATAGCAAGACTATACTGAATTATTGTTTTTAACAAATGCCTTTTGTTTGAAGGTAATGGAAGAGGCTCACGTTGATGCTGTCATGATACTGGGAGAAGCGTTTGCTTGTCACAAAGAATTTGATTTTAAACAACAAAATATGACCGAAAGAATACATCATTTAGTACCAATCATGTTGGAACATAGACTCACTCCCCCACCTGACGAGTCTTATTCTCTCCATCGAAAAATGTCGGGAATCTTTCTACTATGCACCAAACTTGGTGCAAAAATAAATTGTGGACTGTTATTTGATGATGTGTACAAAGAGTATCTCTCTAAAAAATAAGCCAGCCAAATTCACTTATTGTAAATAGTTTGTAGAAAGCAGTTTAGTTTCATGTGAATAAAATGTTTAGTTTTAAAAATTATTTTAATTTCTATTTCCTCAGTTCAAGATCTACAGTTAAAATTCATTGTATCAGAATATGCATCAAAATTTACACTTCTGTTGGTCTTAAAATCAATCTTATTGTATCTAGATTTATATAAATATTAAAATAAAAATTTTATAAATTACCTTTTTAAGTAGACTAAAAAAAAAAAGACAAAATTGTGTTTTTGCAAGGCTAAAAATGAGAAACTAAGGACACATCACTTTATAAAGACTTCAGTGGAGGATTTTCAGTAGTGAGAGGTTTATTACAAAAGTGAGGTGTCCATAGTTTTTGTCTCATAAAACAAGTTTATTTTTTATGTTTATTATTTATTATTTCCTACATTTAGTTATTTGTTCAGGATAAGTTTCAGAATTTTCAATTAGCAATAAAATTATGAAATATTTTGTTTGCACCAGTTGGGAAATAGTAAACTACAGAGACAGCTGCTAATGGTGAGCATAGTTTATTCATTTGATAAGCTTATAATCTTTTTTTTTCCTAGATAGTGGGATGAAAATTATATTTTATTGCCAACCTAGTGCTAGGATAAGGGTTTTGCTAACTTTAATGTCAAATTTCATAATCTTGTCATTTAAAACCTAATCCAGAAAATAAAATATTTCTTGGGCGAAGCTTTGGAGTAAACTCATCTTCTTGAAAAACTTATTCAGTAATGATATTGTGTTACATTAAGAAAGCTACAAAAACCTTAATGGTCAGCCGGAAAGTTTGAGACCTCTAACCCAACTGGTTGTATATTGAACTTATTGAATAATTAAGCCAACCAGTAAGAAACATACTTTCTTGTAAAAATGTAATTTAACTCAGTGAGAGAAAGGCTTGAGAAAGTAAGGTTTGACCATAGTATAAAACACTTATTCTGTTACACATTATAAAATGATTTTAGCATTAAAAAATAGCTTGCTGTAGATAATTTTATCTGTACTCTATTATAGTTTTTTTTTTAACTGTTTTGAAAATTCATCAAAATTTGCAGGTGCAGTATAACGTTGAGCATGTAACATTTCTTTATTTTAAAATATTTTACCAATGAATTAAAATGAGAAACATTAAAACATTTTTGGAAACAGTCATATAAACTGTAATAGCTTTGCTTAAGAATGATTATAATTAGTTTATAACATCTGTAAGTGTTTAATCATGGTGTGTAGTTTTTGTTTCACTTCTCTTTAATTAGCTACACTTTTCATATTTTTTTTCTTCCTTTTAATAAGAGGATTACACATTTATGGGAAGTACACTGATGGAAAAACTGTGTTTAATGTTAACCATATTAAGGGAAATAATAGTATCATGTCAAGCTACATGCATCAGGTCCAGCTATTTATTTATAAAGAAAATTTCAACTTTTGAAAAGGAAAAAAAAACAAAAAAACAAGAATTTTGTTCAGTACAAAGTTGGCAGATACCATTTCTGAAATTTAAAGATATAGAAAAGTCAAAACTGAATTATTTATTTATTATTTTTACAGATGTTTTATAAAAGTTAAACAAATCATATTTGAAGGCTGCATTTCATACATATCAATAAGTGTCTAGAATAAGATAATTTTTTCCTCTGCTTTTTCACAAATCTATAAAATTATTAAGAATGTTTCCTTCCCCCTCACATATTGAATCTTAAATCAATTTTCTCTTAAATCACTAAAAGTGAATATAATATTTGAAAGCAGTAAATAAAAACACATTTTATTCAAAATTACCAGGCTGGAATGAATAAAGAACAGTAGCTATGAATTCAAACACAATAAGTAAAGCTTGAAAAATATCTAGATTCTTTAAGCTCCATCCCTTAAACAAATCTATTGGAATTCTATAAAATTAATAATGTTCATAACTTAAAGATCCATAAGCATAATTCTAGGGTCCTCAACAGCAGATTTAATTTTAATCAGGAATCCAACAGCTTCACGGCCATCAATAAGGCGGTGGTCATATGTCAAGGCAAGGTTCATCATAGGCCGAATTTCAATCTACACAAAGAAACAAATTAGCAATTACTATCTAACCCTAGATTAACTGAAATCAATGTTAATATGTAGCTAGGCATAGGACTTGTGGTCTTTTCTTTAAAATTCTAAATTTTATTTTTGTTTAACAATGTGCTTTTATTGTTTGTCAAACAATAAGAGCATTTTATGGAATTTCTCAAAATTTTTTTATTAAAATGTAACTAAATCATAAAAATGTAACGTTTGCAATTATTGAAGATTAAAGATTATTGAAGAAGTAAAAGTGTTACAGTAACAACCCTACTATGCAAAACTGGCAAAAGTTCTTCCTTTACTTATTAAATGTTTAGTTATGTATGATTAAAATAAAATGATTCCCCCTCCCCAAAAAAAAAGAAATCTATTTCTTATTTAACTATGTCAAAACAAAACATTTAAATAACATTATTTCAAATTTAGCATTTTTTGTCAAAACAATACTTTATAATGATGCCACACAAAATAAGAATTACTTTTAAATATTTTGAATGAGTAGCCTCTTTTATTATTTAAAATGTTAGTTTATAAAAAAGAGTGCATAAATTCCCCTTAATGTTTTGTTAGGGGAAATAGTGCAATTAACAGCGAGTTAAAAATATCAAAAATTAGCAAGGTTACAATTAGTGATTTCACTGAACATTAAATATTTGGTTAATCTTGACTTATTGAACTTAATGAATCAAAGTTTGGCCCTTAAATAACTTATTTTTAAAAATAGTTATATTTTAAAAAAGTATCTTAATAAATGGCAGCATTTTAAGAATAGTTATTTTATTAAATTTAAAATAAACCTAAAACTTGTGAAGAAATACATTATATTTAACATCAATACTGCTATTTACTTTACAAACTGGATTTCAGATCCTAAGTAACTTAATTATTAAATAAGTATTTTTCTCAACACATTCAGAAAGTACAAAATATTTTCAGCTAATATACTCATTAATATAATCTTCAAATATACAAATACAGAATAATGGCAGATAAGATATAGTGATTGACATACTTGAACCAAGAACTTCAAAATAATTTAATTATTTTTCCAAAACCCATTTATTTAGTGGAATTTTTTGTATCTTGACACTTGGGTTAAAGTGACAAGGCATTGGTATAGCTTATTTCTCCCATAAGAATTTTTTTTATGGAACATATATCATTCATCAATTGTTACAAAAGGATGCACGTTTTTTATTAAGCTAAAATTGTTAGTCATTTGCGGCTATTTCTTTAAATACGGAAAATATTGAAATGAAAAAAGTTAAAAATTTACAATATAAGTCAATTTGTCAATTAGAAATAAATAAAATCATGCATATAGTTTTGCTTATTATATTTAAAAGGAGGAAATATGCTCAGTATTGATAAGCATTAAGTTAAAAGTATTAATCACAAATGAAGTATTTTAATTTTAAAAACAGTTATAACAATCAGCGATTATTGATTACCAATAAATGTAAGTATTATGCTTATTCAGTCTAAATTCATTTCATTCAATATTGACTAACTTTTATTAAATATTGATAATATTTATTACTTTAATCCTGAATAATATAAATCATGCATCATAAACTGTTGAGCACAAACTGAGTTCAGAGTAAAAAATGTTTGTTGTTTTTACCAGTAAGAACTTCAGTTTATTCGACTAACATATAATCATACAAAAATTAATCAGTTAGAGCAATTTAAAATAAAATATGCCTGAAAATTTCAAACTGCTTGTATCTAATTGAAACCTTCATTAATTTAGAAATTTGAAGTAAATTTTGATTAGTTTTAATAAATTTTTAAAAGGACATGATAGAAGTCCAAGTAACAATGTTCTCAAATGCATAAAAAATATATTGATTTTAAAAAAATAATATAACATAACAAGATAAATGAGGGGAAATAGTAAAAAAATATCAGAAAATAATGAATTTCATCTTGAAAAAAGAATCACATGTCTGAACGTATTTGAATTACCTTTCCATTAATGACAACAGGGCGTTCCTTGATGGCATGCATTCCTAATATTGCAGATTGAGGAGGATTAATTATTGGCGTTCCTGAAAGGGAACCGAAAACACCGCCATTGCTAATAGTAAAAGTTCCTCCATCCATATCTTCAATAGCTAACGTTCCTGTACGTGCCTATGATAAGAAAACAAAATTATATCACAAATGAAACACTATCTCTAAAAGTTAAGTGCTAAAAGTTATAATTTTTTTTACTTTTTCTCCTAAAGCATGAATCGCTTTCTCAATATCAGCATAGTTCATTTTTCCTAAATTTCGAATAACAGGAACAACAAGCCCCTAAAATTACATACAGTTTTATATATTTTGTCTTTTAAATCAGTAATTAAAATGTAAGAAATCTGCATAAAACTAATCTACCTTAGGTGTTGCCACAGCCACACTAATATCAATATAATTACGATACACTATAAATTCTTCATCAATAACTGTAAATAGATAAGAAATTAAATGAGCAACTTATTAGAAATAAATGCTTAATGTTCAAACAATTCATTATTAATATAAAAAGAGATATGGTTAACTTGTTCAAAAAGTGGAAGAATAAATAATTTAGAAGCATTGGATCTAATTAAGAAGTTAAATAAGACATACATTGATATGATTACTCCTTTTAAAATTTAAAAACTAAAATATGTTTCTATCTACTAAAATTCTTTTCTTTTCTGCTCATTATTTTAAAAAAAAAATTTTAAAAAATTAATTGTGAGGTAGGTTTAAATTTAATTTAAACAAATAAAAAAAACACAACATACAAATGAGAAGTAATATATGCATAGTTAAAAAAAAAGAAAAGCTAATTCAGCTGGTATTTAAATTTTTAATAATAGTTGCTTCCCTTGTACTAATTGGTCAAAACTTGCACTTTTAGTTATATTTATAATTTTGATTTTTTTTTAAGACATAGGTCTTGTGACCTGATAACAATAAATTGTTTTGCAACACAAGCCATAATTTAGTCATCTTAGACTAGAAGACTACCTATGATTGGCAAATAAGTATAATAAAGCTCTTGTAAATAATTTAACTTTTAAATTATTAGTTTTTGACTAGTAAAAATATTTATTGACAATCTATGAATGCATATATATGTGATATCAAAGAATTGTAATTTGGGAAATGAAATTGGGAAAATAGGGAATACTGACACAATTTCGAAATAAATAAATGTAAAATTGCCGAAATAGTTTTTTTTAATTTCATTATTACTATTTTTTTTAAATCAAATTTAGCATTTGCTTTTTTTTTCAGAAATAAAAAATATTTTTCATCAAAAGTGTTTATCACATAAAATAAGAAAGTTTACCATAAAAATCAACTTTGAAACTGTGTAATTTTGAGATAAAAATATCTGTCAACCTCAGAAAAGCTTGAGAATTTTAGTCATTGCAACATAGCATAATAAGCAAATCAATACCGAAGATGTAAAAAATAAAAATTCACACAACTGTTAAACTATATTTATTTAAAAACTTTTTTCCTTCAAAAATTACAAAAAATAACTAAATTGTTTAGAAATAACTAATTCTTTAATTAGACTGAATAACTGATTTATAGCATTTCTTAGTGCGTCACATAAAAAAAATTTCTAACGTGTTCTCGTTTGCAGTCAAAATTTCAAGTTTGTTTTAACTAAGATGAACATGAGTTATTTCTGTTACATGGCTGAATATTCTCTCACAGATTAAGCGCTCCACAGTAAAAAGTGGTTTATGCTACTAGCTTAAACTTGGCCAACACTGTAAACATTACTTTTTCTTGATACTGACTTGGCACCTTTTTAATCAAAAGAATGAAAAAAATTTTAAATTATCTTTCCATTCTAAAACATAAAACTGAGTAACTAGAAAGTCTAGAAATAAGATGTCACATTTTCCTAAAACTTTTACAAATAACCAACCAATTACCAACTGAAAAGTAGCAATTGAGATAATACTCTTATTAGGTATTTTAGCATGAATTAAGATACCGCTCTTAAAAGACAAATTATTCATGCTTTTCAAAAAGCAATGTTATATTTTTTTTTGGTTTATAAGACATTACAAAATATTAAAAAAAAAGTTTTGAAAAGGAATTAATGATAAGCTTAATACACTCAAACTACTAAATCGCTGTTTTGGAGGAGAGTGTTTTGAGAACTGTATGCAAAGTGTGCTTATTCAAACATTTATTAGGAAAAAAGGCTGAGTAAATACATTGATGGCTTGAAATTCAGAAATAAGATTAAAAAGTCTGAGAGTTGGTAAGTCTGAAGCTTATTTAAAATAAATAAAGTACAACTTGAACTTTTACCTGCATTAACAACGGGTTGATCATGCAGAGCATACGCAGCTGCCTTCACAAAAGCTGACATGAAACCTAGTTTAATATTATGCTTTTTAAGAAAAGCATCTTTATGCTTATTTCTCATTTCAATGACATTTCTGAAAAATAGATGAGACCAATCTATAGAAATTGTTTTAAAAAAATGTTAATAATGTGTAATTAAATGATTAATGAAATACAAAACTGAGTTTTACAGTACTGGCAGAACATCATTTTAATGAAGGCACCAATGTTTTTATTAATTTTCATTAATATTAAAAAAAATTGAAAATATAACCAAAATGTATATTAAATATTTCTTAAGAACTGATAGTTACTTTACTGTGCCATGACTAGAAAAATAATAATCAAATAAAGAGTTCTAGTATACAATAATTTTCACTATAAAAAAAACTGTTACCCAGTTTACAATAGATAATAGATTGCATAACAAGGCAAATTAAATAATGAAAAAAATGGGTTTTAATAAAGTTATTTTAAATAACTCAAACTTCTGATCAAATAATAACTCAAACTTCTGATCAAATTGCAAAAAATAACTAGAAAATTTTACTTGTTGATTACTGTGAAATTTACAGCAATAAACAATAAAGTTTACATTTGTTAAGTGACTTTAATCCAACAGACAGAGACAAATTAAGGAAGAGATAAATAAATTATAAATTATTTAGAGATAAATAAACTATCTAGCTAAACATTTTTAAGTGCCACATATAAATTCTTTTTATGTTTTCACAAAATTACCAACCACTGATCAAGAGTTTCAGAGCATAAAAACTCCAAAACAATATTGATTCGTAAATGTAAACCAATGCAATTTGCAAACAATGGTAAATATTCAGAGTTATGTTGTTGAAATTGTATCTAGAAACAAAAACAAGTAAAGATTATGTTGTTTTTTTCCAACAGTCATCTCATAAGTGTCAATTTTTTAAAAAAATGCATACATTTTTTCCCCCCTGATTTTATGTTTTCCTGCTTCATGCATTTTTTAAAACTACGTGTTTGACATAAAACGTAAAATCGAGGTTCCACTGTGTGTATATATATACCCTAGCAATATAGGTCCTATAACAGCATCAACTGAGGAACCAATATTGGGATCTCTAGATTTTTTAATATTAGTCCTAGAATGACTTTTAATATTGGGCAATAACAATTCTATATAGGGCCAATATTGGTAGAATGGCTGTAAAATATCAGGTGAAATAGACAATTTATAGCACATATTGGATGGATAATGGTTATAAAATATTAAGTTAATCTACTAGGTTAATCTACCAATTCTATATAGGGCTGATATCTTAAAAATTGCCATCCATTGAGTGTCCAAGTTATTTTGCTGCTAAGGAAGGTGTATATATAGAGAGAGAGTGAGATTTAAAAATAACAGAAACAAAAATCAGCAAGCGTTTTGTACTTGGAATAAATAAAAAAAAAATGAGTTTAAAATGAGCTTGCAATCTCAGTTAACCTAAATATTTGCAGTTTTATATGGAATCAATTTTAATTTTTTGTGATAATTTAGATATTCATTTATATTCATAAAACATTGTTAATTGAGAAAAATCGTATTTAGTATTAAAAATTTCTGAACTACTAAAATTACTCAGATGCCATTTTATTACTTTAATGAAAAAGTTTTTATTTACTTAATAGTAAAAAGTGTACTAAATATGTTGATTATTTGTTGATTTTTTTTTTTTTTTTTCCTTTTGAAACAACAATTGTACATGATTGTAATTATTCTTAAAATAAAATTTTAGACAATATTTACTGAAAGCTTAAAGGTTTCAAGAGTATTGTAACTACTAAAAAAACTAGTCATCATTATAAAAAAATTGTTATAAAAGTGAATTTTGTAATGCTTACGACATATCAACTTCATTAAATGTTGTTAACATAGCATATGTATTCTGAGCTTCTTTCAATCTTTGAGCTATGCGTTGTCGCATTCTATTCAGTTTCACCTATGATAGAAATATATTAAGTTTTAAATTACTCAGATAAAAAAATTTAATTAGCTAAAAGTATTATAAAAAATGTGCAATTACAGTAGAAAGCTAATTATCCTGTACGATTCAATTAAAACTAAGACCGATCTGGTTTAAAAAATAAATCTTAAAATTATTGGAAAACTTTAAAGAAACATTTATAGCAATGTTTTGTAGATGATTTTAGGTAACTTCCTTGACAGTGTTTTTTGAAGCTTTTTCTCCAAAGGAAAAAAGCTTCTGTTTGTCAAGTGCCTTATACTTCAGGCAAAGCTATAATTACTATTGCCCTTTAGAGCTTTAAGTTTGGTTATTGCATTTAAGTTAAATTTTTCAAAAATTAAAAATTAGATCTCAAACACTTTTCACATTTGCAAAACTGTACCTTTTCTTCATACTGACAATTTGCACCATTTTCAGAATTAGAATAGAGAGAGATGGTTAAAGGTAGTTAAACTTAGACATAACAATCATGAATAACTGTTGCACACTCCCAAAAGCAGTTTTAAAAATATATTACTCACACATGCATAAAAAGGGTGGGGAAGGCATTTTTTAGTTAACTGGGCTGCAAGGAAATTCAACTATTTTTTCCCTTAATTTTTTTATTTTATCCAATTTTTATGCATTAAAAAATCACTACCTTGTACGTCGACATTTTCAGTGACTTTTTACTTACAGCCAGCTAACCGAAAAGAACCGAAAAACATTATTTCATATGACAACATATACTTTAAAAAACAATCTGACAAAATTAAACAAATAATTATTAAACTACGTCTTAGAAATTCTTTTTTTTTTCCCCTTGATATTTAATTGATATTGTCTTTTTTTGCCAAACACTAATACAAAATTTAAAAAAAAAAAATTCAAATATTCAGTACAGTTGATTGGGTCATAGTAACTTTGAAACACTATGCTTTTATCATTTTCGCCTTTGTTTTCACCATTTGAACAACTTTAATTTTTTTATTTAATGACAGCACAACATTTTTGCACTTCAGGACGCCTTTAAATAATAGCTTTAGTAAATAACAGAAATTTTTAAAAATTAGATTAACATGGCTTGAACTTTTTTTTATAAACTACCACAACTCGGGAACTATAAATCAAAGAACTGAAATTTGAAAAGGCATTATGCTGGAAACTGCACAAAGATTTGTCAAAACTGAAATCTCGAAAAATTATTTGAAAATCAAGCTTTAAAGGCCACTTATACCAATTAACATATTTGAAAACAAGAAAATTTGGGAGAAAAACAATAAAAGAATTTGGATTACCTTTGTTTCTGTTCTTGAATCTGTGATAGTAGATTCAGCTTGACCAGGAGGTAAAGGCATAGGAATAACAGGTATTTTTATGGATGACACTGGCTTGGATGATAAAGGAGCAGTTGGTTTTGGTGGAATTGGTGGTGGTGTTGTTGGAGGAGGAGAGCTTACATCAGTCGCAGGGGTTTGCGAGGGAACAGTTTCAGAAGGTGGGGCGGCTGTTTTTTCAGATACTTCTGCTTTTGGAGCACTTGCCTCAGCTATAAGTAAAGACAAGATGAAAGTATGAAATTTAATTTTAAAAAATTTCCTGAGCTGAAGTTTAAATCAAGCAAGCTATTTTAAAAGATATTAGCTTTAATATTTTAATCAATAATTTCATCACAAAACAATTCAAACTTTAATGCTTTAAAGGTTATTAAATAGTAATGAGAAAAACAGATAACTATACCTCCAACCCTAACCTTGCAAACTACTAAGCCAGGAGTAACAGTAGCTCCATCTTCAACAAGCAATTCTTCAATAACTCCAGCTGCTGTGGCTAATACAGGAATATTTGTCTGAAAGAAAGTATATATTTTTATACATGAAAGAATACTATTACAAACTAAATCATTGAGAATAAGAATCCATGTTAATTTTATAATAAAAATAACTTAAGCATAAATAAACAACATGTTCAAATGTTCAGTTCCTGATATCAGAGTAAAAAGGAGTGCAGACATATTGCCTGATCACAACCTTGTACGTGCTGATGTTAACTTAAAACTTTCAAGCTGAAAGGCGAGAAAGAAAAAGAAATGATGCAGCAATCATCTCTCAAAACTGACAGACAAAAATGTGAAAGATACCTCTAAAATTTAACTGAAAAAGAAAAAAAGAAATTTGCTGCGCTTTGAGAGAAGATAAAGAGCAGATGGGAACATACTGGACCACCTGCATAGAAAATTTCAATAAAACTGAAAGTGCAGTTTTGGAGAAACAACCCAAGAAAGCTAACAAGAAATGGGTTTCAGCAGGCACACTCATTATCATGGAAAAACGAAAAAAAAAATTCGTAACAAAATCAACAGCACTAACTGTAAAAGACTTCTTAAGAAATATCAGATGGAATATCATCTTGCACACAAAGTCAAAAAGCAGGGCAAAAAATGACAGTGGGTAAAAAAGATGCTCTTGGATGGTCTAACTGGAGCTTGGCTAAGAAGACTGCTTTGGACAGCAAGCAATAGAGAATGAGACTTAAGGCCTTAAGCGCCAAACTGGCGTAAAAAGAAACTTGATAATGATAATAAGTATAAAAATTTTGAAATCAGGGTTTTTCAAAAATTATTTCACCTGTTTCATATTGATTTGGTGTATTTAAATAATAAATATTTTCACTTTAGATATTGTATTTTTAAAAAAAAATTACATGAGAACACACTATTTAGAAAAATCAAATGTATAATTACTTGATAAGTGAAAAAGAACCTTATAATAAAACTTTATTATTACAGTAATCTTATAAAAATCACAATAATCTGATTTTAAATTGGTATGGTTGTTAACCTTCACTAGAACTACATCAGTGAGCTATGTACATCAGGGATTTATCTTATATGATGATCCAAAGACAATACTGGCTTTTACACTCGCTACACTAACACAATTTTGATTGGAAATCAGATAGCGTTTGTTATAACCAGGCCTTGCATTACACTCTTCAACTGCTCAACTGGACAGGAATTTTTTTAGAGGGGAGGTGGCTCTAAAATAGCCAGAGACATTACATTGGAGTAGATCTGAAACGACTAACACAATCTGAGAAAGGACAGTCCGAACACAGCCTTAGTCCAGAAAATCAAACCCTAGCAGCAATAGTCAAAAACTAAACCCATTGCACCGATTGGGTAGATAATTTAAGCTTAAACACAAGAAATTGAGCATAATTTTGATTTCAACAAAAATGCTTTCTAAACAAACATGTAACTAAAAATAACTGATTAAGTACATTGTATAGCATATGAAGTTTTTAACTAAAAATGATAATTTATAATTATACTTTATCTGTTTCCACTTGACCGATCTCTTCATCTTCTACAACTGAGTCTCCAACAGCTTTAAGAATAAATGGAGAGTTTTATTAATCTATCTAATGACTTGATAATATGAATAAATTGTTTTAATTTAAAAATTCAAATTGATCACAAATTCAAGCACATGAAGTTTTTCAGTTCTGAAGGGGAGGGGAAAAAAAAGAGCTTTCATAAATTTTAATATATGACGACTTTTTCTTCGTGTCATGATCGATAAAAATGAACATCTACCTAATATAAAAAATTGAATAAATTATTTTTTTAAAAATACCAATTAAGATAATTAAACACTTAATTTACAATCTCTTATATAAATATATTTCAGATGAAGCAAATTAAGTAAATTATTCTATTTATGTAACTTGATCCTAAAATTTAAAATAAAAAGTTTCTTAAAATAAAGTTATTTGCCACCTAGACTCTGGAAGCAGAAAAATTTAAACACCTACTAAATTCAATAGAACACACCATTTTTCTGTTCCAAAATATTTTCAACAGACTAGTACACTTGCAATTGAAAAACATTGTTAAACTAACATAGTAACATAATCCAAAAATAAAACCAAATCAGGAATGATATTGATCTTAATATCTCAAAGTTAAGTACACTAATAATGAAACAAATTATTAACAGCATTATATGCATTTCCACTGCATTTAGCAAACACATCAAAATAAAGTCAAATGTTTAAGCTAAATTAGCTATTTCTTTTTTCTTTTCTCCCTATAATTTTGTACTAATGCTGAATATTTGAATGGTTATTAAATAAATTTCTTTTCAGCAAAATTTGAAAGATTTACAAAAGGTTTAATAAGAAAAAAATAATAATATATGAATTTTGCCTCTTTATGGATCAAGTCATTTATTTTATTTATAAATGGAGAGGAAAATGGTAATGTGTAGGACTAATTTCAGGAATAACAAAATAATTTCGTTTAGGCAAAGAATCATTTAAATCTGCGAATGATGTTATACATCTAAATTTGAATCACTAAGTTATCTTCTTTCTTAGTGATTATACTAGTATAATTCAAAGAAACAAACAACACTAAAGAAAGCTATCTTTATGTTGCAGTATTAAATAAATTAGCAAAATGTATAACACAGTATGAGTGAATTTTCATTCTGTGTTTAAATTATAATGATAGGTACCTGTTACAGAACTGAAATGATTGTCTATCACTGTTAACAGCGCCATTTGTATCTTATGCATTGCATACATTACATTTTATCATACTTATATTTATACATTTTCCTAAATACAGAACATTTAGAAAGAGAAAAATACATGAAAAATGTAATGAAATTTTGCTGCAAACTTCAGAGTCATTTTAAAGAACAGTTGAGTTTTGCTGTTGTTGAAATATTCTGATAAGGTCCATTATCAGTCTTTAAACTCTGTCATAAGTAATTAATCTACAACCTAATATATCAGGGGGGTCAACCTGTGGCTCACGAGCCATATGCAGCTCTTTGAAGGATTATTTGTGACTCTCGATAAATGTACCAGAGTTCCCTTTAAATTTTTTTGCTATTATATTTTAAAAAATTATTATTATTGTTCTATATCTGTTTCAAAATGTCTTTTAAATTACTAACAACAAATATGAAAGACTAAGTGCAACATTGTAACAAATTTCATTTTCGTCCAAGTTAAGAATGTTATGTAGATGTCCAAGTTTCAGGACTCATCGAAAATTACGCGAACGAGCATATACAGTCGCGTAATCGACCGACTCTCTGACCGATTAACACGATCTACCAATAATTTATTCTTTTTGTCCAAAAAATAAACTTATAAGCATTACAACTGATGGAGCTCCGGCAATGCTAGATAAAAAAATTGACCTTATTGGGCTCTTAAGAGATGATTCTTAAATTCCACAATTCACACCGATTCACTGTTCACCGAGAATATTTTGTTACAAAATATTTTAAATATCCCGATGTCCTAAAAACAGCGTTACACATTGTAAATTACATTCGCACCAATGCAATTCAAAAATTTCCTTAAAGAATTAAAGGAGGAAGAACTTCCAAATGACATTAATTTCCTTTCTAGCTACAACATATTAAATTGTTTTGTATATTTGTTTTATCCGATAGCTGCATTTCTAAAAGAAAAGGAAATAACCTATTCAAAATCAGACGATGACGAGTTGTTACAAGACTTAATGTTTTTAACTGATGTCATGGAACACTTGCAAACACTGAATTTACAATTGCAGGGGAAAGATAAAATAATATCTGACTTCTCACAGTGCATATTTAATTTTCAAACTAAATTACAAGTTTCGCAAAAGAGCATTAAAAATTAAACATTTTGTCATTTTCCTCGAAGTAAAAAAATTTGTTCCAATACTAAACAAGAAAAACTCAACAAGTATATAAAAAAAGCTAGAAAGGCGGAATTCCAAAATAGATTTCAAGACTTGAAATATTTTAAATAGTCTCGATTTTCTTCAGAATCCATTTGAAATTAACATAATTCAAGATCAGTTTCCCATTTCCATTATAATTATGACCCAAAAAGCATCTTGCAAATTAGAATTAATAGAGATGCAAGAAGATCAAGCTCTACATTAGCTCTAGCTCTACAGTTGCATTCCTTTTAAATACGTATTTAATTGCGGCTCTCGAAAAATTTCAGGTTTTGAAAAATGGCTCCACTATCGAGGAGCTTGGCCACCCCTGTAATATATTATATGTTTATTTGTATAGTTGCATGTATATATTATATGTGTATTTTATAGCAAAACTAATTCAAGTAAATTTTTGTGATTTTTAAACTTTTTTTTTTCTTCAGAGAAATGCAATGAACACATAAAAAGTTAATAAAGTAAAAGTTCTAATCAATATTTAAAAAATTTATTCTTGCAGGTAGATACAAATTTCATTATGCACAATAGAATGGGAATAGTAAAAATGAAATAGCGCATGCAAATTCAAACAATTAGTTTAAATATAAATCAAACAAATATTTTACATTATGTACATAAAATAATTTTTTTGAAATAAGTTTATATAACAGTGTGACAACTCAAACCATGAACATAACATGTCTTAATCCCTAAAAAAAGGAAAGTTAAAAATGCATCTTCCCTAACCAACAGAGAAATCAAGCAGATTGAAAATAGACATGGCAAGATCCTATTGAATGAATCAAAATCTGATTTGCATATATATTGGCAATTAGTAATTTATTAGTCAGAAACTAATGAATTATTAATTGCCGTAATTAACTGAAAAATTAGTTAGAAACAAAAAGATAAATATATATTAAGAAATTCATTCTATTCCCTTTCATCATCTTAATAAAACCTTAAAGTTATGTGTAAAAAATTTAATAAGGTTTCTGTGTTTAATAATACTCCCTAAAATTGAAATTTAACTCTTATCCATTCTTAATAGATACTCAAAAACAAAAGATTCATATATTAAGTCATGTGACATTCAACAATGCTTGATCTTTACACAAATACCATACAAAAAGAATTTATAAAGTAAGAACTCAATAAAACATTTGTAAAAATATCAAAAGAAATGAAGTAAGAAAAAAATTACCTTTACTCCAATTTAAGTCTCCTTCACTTATAGATTCAGGAAATGTAGGTACTTTAATTTCTCTAACTTCATTTCCTAAAAAATAATTTTAACATTAAAGAAAGAAAGAACATATCTTAAAAATATATAACTTCTGTGTTTAAAATATAAACAAACTTACTTAAATTAGATGATGTGTGTATATAACATTTTCCAAGATTCATTTGAGATAAGTAAAGTGTGGAAACATATTTTGACCTTAAAAAGATACAGAATTAATTTCAGCTTATTGAAAATTAGTCCGGTTTAGTCAAAAACACCTGGATGTTAAATAACAATTAAATGTTTATTTTACTGTAATGATCTGTTGAATTTCACTAATATAAATTTAATATATGATAAATATTAAAAGAATATTTTACATGATAATCATTTAACAAGGTAGATAAAGTCAATTTCTTTTAAATTTTTTAGATAACTAACTGACAGGATAATCACGGGGATGGGGGAGAAAAAGAGCTAAAAATTGCATCACCAAACAAAAACCATATTTTATCATACATATTGGAGATGGAAAATTAGATTGCCCAGGCTAATATTATACTATTAAAAGAGGACAGGTAATAATTCTAATTGAACATTTACTTTTCACTGATTCCTTAAAATAGTGATAAACCATTCCCTCAAATTTTTATTATAAATAAAAATTCACATTTAAAATTATTCTTTTTTCAATCTAATTATTATTTTATTAAATGAAGAATATCCCAGATTGCGAGTAAAATATATATAAATTGAAATTAAAATGTGAAAGCAAAAGCCAGATTGCGCAACAGGACATTTTAATAATACGTAGCAATTAAAACTAATATCTATTAGATTTTAATCACGGATGGTAACAAAATTCTTTAACCTTCTGAAAGTTAGTCCTGGCTTTTTCTTAACTTCAATATCTTTTTTTAATATCTATTTTTCTAACTTAATATAAATCTTTAACAAAGAAAATTTGAAAACTGAAAGAAATTTCAGTGAAATCAACTTCTTTTTTATTATTTTTTTGTCATTGGCATTTATCTATTTCTTTTAGTTTTACTATTTCTATACAGCAGCTTTATAATTTTAATTTGTAAAAATTAAAGATAATTTGCTATATAAAGAAAATTTTACTTTTTTTTAAAAAAAAAAGAAGCTAGACCCATGAATCTCTTGAGTTTTCAGATTTACTGATTTAAGAGAAATGAACTTTTTTTCTCTTCAAGGATTTTGAAGGCTGCTTAAAATTAATATAAATAAGGTTAAACTAAAAAAAGCAATCTGATTTTAAAAAATCATGGAGAAAAAAAAAACAGCCAAAATAAACAGAAAAAAAATATAATAAATGTATACACTTTTAATATTTTTTTATTGAATGAAAAATAATTCCCTAAAATACCTATTTATTCATCCAAACTTAAATATAACTCAAAAATTTGGAGAGAAAAAAAATAAAAGAAACTATAATTATAAGAAGTATATACTTAATAATTACAAAGAATAATTGAATTATGCTATTAAAGCTTACTTTTGATTAAAAGAGAAACCATTTTTTGCTGCAGATTTAGGCCCTATAAAAATAAAATATAAATCAAATAGAAGTTAAAAAATAAGAAGAACACACATGATACACATAATTATAAAACAAAGTATAATTTTAAAAACTTTTATTAATTACCTGCTTATTTAGACTTAGTAGGGTACACATGAGCAATGAAAATTTGGTGGTCCAACAGAACCACCTAGGTATTCATTATTTAGTAGTCCAAAAAATTAATATGGCAGACAATGTTAAGAAAAATTTAACTTTACAATTACATAATTCATGTTATGGTACACATCAAAAATCATTAATTGCCATCTATAACACTCCAAAACTAATTTGGTTCATTAGCCCATAGTGATTGAAGATTAGTAGTTATCAAAATTAAGAGTAAAAAAGCTAAAAAAATAATAGTAAATAGATTCAACATGAAGATTAAAATGCTGAGACCAAATAAATAAATGAGGAAAACAGAGAAAGTAAGAACTAACAAAATATTACTCTAAATACAGTATACTCTCGATATCTCATACTTGGATACCTTGAAAACCTTGTTATGTCAAAAAAATATTTTTCCTTTAGGCATAATATATTTACCTAATCTTAATTTAAATTCCTATGTTGAAGAGCTTCTTCTCAAAACCTTATTATGTCGGACTTTTTTTAATAAAAAATGAAATTTTTCAAAAAATCACAATGTAGGTTTATTGTAGACCAATTCTTTTTATTTAATGCGTAATTATTTTTGCCTTACTTATAAACAAAAAAATTATCAAAGTTGCATTTCGACTTAGAGTCAACTATCATCACATACATATTTAGTAGTAGTTATTCTCAAGTTTCCTGACTCTGATTCTTAGAGTAATATTTTATAATATGTTTTCTACTTCTTAGAACATATTTCATTCCGAGCTTCTTATCTCAAAAACTAGCTATCTTGAAATTTTTTTCAACTTAAAGATATTGAAAGTATACTGTATTAATTATTTAAAAATAATAGTTTTCAATTAAGTCAATTCTAAAAGAGTAAAAATTATAATTTTATTGATGGACAATTTTACTGCCAGTACATAAATGCAAAACATAGCACATGTAAATTTGAAATTTAAACATTTATTTTAAACATTGAAATTTAAAAATTTTTGTACCAGAATTTGAATACCATGCATTTGAATTCCATTCTAAGCATAGAACAATAAAATTAGTAAAAAACATTTTTTTTAAATACATTGAATTGGATGCAAAAATCTAATCTTCGTAACTATTTTTGTAAATTCCATACACACTTCAAGACTATGAATTTGTCGTCCTTGCCTATAATTTTATCGAATTTATTGAAGATTTGGCAACAATTGTCGCCATGTCGTCCAACTGGCATGAACCCTATGTATTAGACACTTTATTCACTGTGAAACATATTTAACCCTGTGGCAGAATTTTATCGAGCTATCTGCGACAAAACTCTCGAGCACTAATATCTTTCTGCAAGATACCTTTAATAATAATAAACATGTATGTTACTAATTTAAAATAACAAAAGCGGTGTGCTTACAAAAGAAAACTATATAATTTTTTTTTAATAGAACATGCAATATTTTTTATTCTAATATTATGGGTGATTTTCTTTTATTTTGTTCGATTAAATGCACGATTCGAATTTTCCATATTGGTAGAAATATATCGAGATATTTAAAATCCACATGAAAATCAATATCAATAACTGTCGAAAATACAATCAAAGCATTATATCGATTTACGATACTATCGGTGTAAATTGAGCGTGCCAAAAAGGGGTTATCAAAATGCATGATTCAAATAATACGTTTAAAATTCTGTAGAAAAGAAAAGTTTTTTTTTTCACTTTTCAAAAGAAAAATCTTCTGCGACAATGTCGCTGCGATTCTGCCACGGGGTGAAAAACTGCCTTAATTTAAGTATGGAATCACGATGTAGGGCTTGTATATTTGTAAAAGGCGATCATACCCCCTGTTGAAAACAATTTTTTTCTGTTAATTTTGCAATCGCTGTTTCATACTTTCCTACGAATGTTACACATGATCATGTGTGTGTGTGTACAATTGTTGAGTGGTTATTATTTTTTTTTATTGTATCAATGTATGTACCAATCAAATATTTGAACGAAATGGGTCGATTAGATCTGATGAAAAAAATATATACATACGATTTAAATTTTATAATTCGGAAGATATTTTACCAATTTATGTTCTATTTCTCTTATTTGAAATTATGTAAAAATTTTGGTCTTTTGCATCTTGCAATGATATTAAATAAAGGAAAAATAAATAATTTTTAAACATGCATTTTTGGATAGAATTATCTTTGAATGTGTAAGTCTTATAAATGTGAGTAAAAGAAGAAAAAAAACTTCCCCGTGTATGACAAAATACGTAAAAAGTGAAGAAGAGGAGACTCGACCCACTCAAAAAATACGACGTAATTTAAGCAAAAATTACACTGGGTACTGGGAAATAAAATTTTTGATTTTCTAATTATCATGCCTATATGGGGTGTGAGGATTTCAGCTCTAAAATCAGTTTTGTTCGGGAAGCTACGGCTTTTTTTTAAAATCTCGAACTGATATTTTTAGATACCATTCCCTACGTAGCATAGAAGTGGGGGGGGCACTTGATATATACATGAGGGAATTTAAAGAATCCCTATTAGGAATGTATTGTTCAATCTCATAAAAACTTAGCGTGTACACAGAAGCCGATTGTAGATTTGAAATCAACGACGCGAAAATATCAAGATCAGTTCGAAAATCTCATACAACAGAAAAAATGTGTTTGATAATGGTAGTTAACATTTTAATTTTTTTTTTTTTAAATGTCTCTTAATTTTTAATGTCTAAAAGTACAATGGAAAAAAGTATTTTTTTTTTTTCGTTCATTTTGCAGATAATTAAAAAGAGAACGCAAAGCAACTGTAAAATATGTTAAAATTAGTAAAAAAAATAATATTATGTACATCAATTTCCTTGGACTTCAAAAACGACTATNTAAATACCTTATTTTAAATGTTATTATATTAGTTATTAACAATTTTTGACAGTCGTGCATTTGTTACAATTGTCCCCCCTTACGGGGTCAATTGCAGGGCCGGACCCAGGGCAGGGCGATCCGGGCGGCCGCCCGGAGCGCAATGATCTAGGGGCGCCAAAATGATAGTTAACAAGATTGAGAGGCGGCAGGCGGAATTTATCATTTTTATTTCTAAGCACATAATTCAAATAATATAATATATTTAAACATTAATGCTAAACCTAGTTGAATTCAATTCAACATGACAAGAATTGATTGTATTTTATATAATATTTTTGGTCTAAATAATATTTTGGTCTAAATAATACTTTGGTTTATATAACATTTTGGTCTTTTTGTATAATATTTTTGGTCTAAAAGACATGCCCAGAAATGAGCTACTGGCTCATTGCAAAGATTTGGAAATAATTTTAACTGATGGAAATTCAAGCGATCTAGCCGATCGCTTGAATTTCCATCTGGAACTAGCCGATTTCCATCTGGAACGCCCTGGAACTAGCCGATGAAATAAGCATTGTTTCGTCATTATTAACAAAAACACTTAAATTAGCACCAAACCTCAGCATAGCATTAAGAATCCTACTTACATTGCCATTCACTGTGGCTTCAGGGGAAAGAAGCTTATCAAAACAAAAAATAATAAAAAATTATCTCAGAACGATGCAGGCGCAAAATCGTCTCAATGGATTGGCAATGATAGCTATAGAACGCCAAATTAGTGACAAAATAGATTTGAAATCACTGGTTCGTGAGTTTCCCGAAGGAAAAGTTAGAAAAAGGGCATTTGAATTACTTTGGTTAGTTAGAATTTATTTATAATATGGGATATTAGTTTAGTTAGCATTACTACACTTTAATCTTTGTTATTTTGCCTTAAATGCTAAATTGCTTATCTTGTTATCTGATGATTGAGTTTTTAATAAAACGTTTTTTTAAATATTTTTTTTTCAATGTTTTCTTGACTTTCTGATACAGTCGCATGAGATTTACTTAAAAAAACGGGGGGGGGGTTCAAAATTAAGGTTTCGCCCGGAGCGCCAAAATGTCTAGGGCCGGCCCTGCAATCTCATACCAGCCCACAATGATAGATTTCAGCCAATCTATTCCAAATGACCTCCAGGCCCACAGGGACCAGGATCCTTNGATTTTTTTTTTTTTTTTTTTTTTTTGAATAAATCCAATTACGGCATCATTTCGTTTTGGAAATGGATGACAGTCCATAATTCCCATTATCGGCATACCTTGATTTGTTTCAATTACGTCTAATTCATGCAAACCGATTACACAGGTTAGGAGTTCCTTTAAAGGGTCCGCATTATTGCGATTGATTTTCCTCATTTGAAAACCATATTACAAAATAACTTCTACAGGCATTTTGGCTCATAAAGTAGCTCGAAATGATAGTGACTTTCTACAATCACTTTTTATACCAGTTGAGCAGGATGTCGGACAGGGGCTATAAAACTGGAAACCAGTTTCCTTAATCAGTCTGAAACGGGAAGTATTTTCCCTTACTAAAATTTAAGGTATTTTTTAGGTTGTGTTGAGGTATATATGAGGTATATTTTAACTTGGTAAGAAAACAACCATAAAACTTATACATCATGAAGGTTGTAACTGAGGTGTAGAAGGTTGTTTTACATATACACTTCAAATCAACTACAGGCTAATGAGGTGATTTTCAAGGTATACGGATTGTTTTTCTGACACTAATAACAAAAAAGATATTTATGAGGTATAAAATTTTTTACCTCAGTTCAACTAAAGAAAGTGAGGTATTTATTGAGGTGCATGAAGTCCTTTTATTTATACCTAAGCTTATTTTGAGGTTGTTTTAAATTCACTTTATATTAACCAGACTGATGAGGTGATTTCTGACACTTGTGACAAAAGAGGTATTTATGAGGAATAAAAATATTTACCTTATTTCATTTAAAGAGAATCAGGTATTTGAGGTGTATGAAGTCATTTTATTTATACATAAGCTTATTTTAAGGCTGTTTAAAGTGACTTCATATCAACTAGACTGAGGAAGTAATTTTTAAGGTATACAGGTTGTTTTTCT